TCCGACAGTTTACATTAATTTTTTAAAGCTTTTGAATTGAATCTTCATCAACCTGTTTTGTTCTGTAGACGTAAAATTAATTCAAATTACTGCGGTGGCTTGAAGAAACTTTTGGTTTGGCTTTATAGAAAAGTAAAGATGCATTCTTAATTTAAAACGAAAAACTTCAGCTTTCTTAAACGTTAAAAATATTAAGAGTAATAAGCATACATTGGATAGCAATATGTAGTACATGTCATGTGAAACACATTAAGACTTGAGGCTTCACAATAGCGGTGCAGGTATCTTTCGGTAAAAAAATTGTCCCGCGGTGTTTTCAAGGAATCGCCACAAACTAAGTATCTATAGAGACGATACTGTTCACCGGAATTTAAAGTAAAAGAAATCTGCTTATTCTTAGTGTTACTTTAAAAGAAGAAACGAGTTGTGGGCAGTACACAACCAGCTGTCATTCCATGTAATTAACTGGGTTCGAAATTCAATTTCTGTATTAAAACTGCACAGTGTTGGTCAGCATTCAGTAAGCTCTCAAAGCGAGTCAAAAATACTACGTATTGTTATTGGGTTTCTTTCTGTAGACCTGTTTAGTTCCACAATCTCGTAATTAGCCAGCCCTTTTCCATTTACGCACACTACGAGGAATTTTCTAGTATAGGACTGAAATCTGTAAAATGTGATTCAAAGACATTCTGTTTAGTTTCGCTAGAATTCGCAAATTCTTCATTATTTTTTGAGGGGAGCTTTTTGAGGCATGATTGGGGGATTTTTTGTCTTACAAATCTGTCACACAATGGAATACTTATGAAACACCTCCTGTCGTGAAAACGAGAAAAAAAAGCCTGATTTCGAAGGAAAACAATAGCATTACAGTAGCACTCTATATCGTTAGCGTCTTTGATGGGTAATCTAAAGAAAACCAAACAGAGAACTAATCTGCAATTCAAAGAGAGGAACTGTGGAAAATTTCTTTGAATTCTGACGAAGCGAATTTCGTTCGAAAAGTATGAGTGTAGAATCCTGTTTATATAGAGCAAGCGTTACTTATTTTTTAAGTAGAAGAGTGCATTAATAGTGACCAGTGGTTCCAACCAAAGTTTCATTTTTTTAACTTTAAATGAACCAAGACAAAGGTCGCTTGATATCGACACTTAACTTCTATTCATTCTCAGATGGATCATTCACGTAAATCAAATACGTTTTGATTAAGCCCTCCGGAATTTTCCTGGGGTGATCGATCGAAATTAAAATTTAGCACGCGCTTAAAAACCGTCCATAGATATCAGCGGGTCCATGAATTTACTCAAGTTTAAAAATCCTTTTTTTTCCCCCCCACAGCTGAATGAAGAGTAAAATTGCACGGAGATTTGTACTGCTCTGTCGAAAAGATAATTGTTTGAGAAGCCAATGGTGAAGACAGCCATCTGAAACGAAACCGACCGATGAAATCACAACTCTTACCATCAGCGCAGATAAGTAAGGTGAGCTTATTTTTATGAGTTTTCAGTCTGTTATCGTTGTTTTGGGACCGAAAATTGGCACCGTAATAGTTTTTAATTCAATCCTTTACGGATGCGTTGTTACTACGTTGTCTCGATATTTTACAAGTTTTCAAAAAATTCGATTATTTTTACCCTTTAGGAAGAAAATCATTTGCATATAAAAAATTAGCATTTGTTTTTCTCGAGAAATCGTTTGGTACATTGCACATACTAAAACGGTTTATTAAAATAGCTCTAAAATAAAATTCAAATTTTTAACATCATGTGAAATCTTTGCACGTGGACCTGATCCTGTTACCCTTAAGCTAACCTAAGGTAATTGAAAGAAATATTTATATTCCTTTCGGCCCCCCACGGGGCTAGGAAATTCATCAAAAAACGGAGTTTATACACAAAGGGTTGGCAATATTTATTAGACCCTTTCATAACGTTCTTAGCGAATATGTTTCCGTCAAAACATTTTTTTGCCATATTTATTGTGTGTCTGCACCTGAAAACTAACACAAGAAAGTTCATCGAAAAATACGACTCTTATTGGAGATTGGAAGTTCATTCTAAGGTGCTTATTAGTAAGCTAACGATGAAGTGTGATAATCAGGTCAATTCTTAATGGTCTGTTAATTATGTCCTGCGTCTTTTCACGACGAGAAAAAGAGAAACTCGGCGTCTTCAAGAGGAATCAAACCCCTTCCTCCTAGCCTGTGTTACAGGGAGCTTTATACTGCGAGAGGCCTCTACGTAAAATGTTTAACGAGATGTTTTAATTTTATAACTTTTTTTGTTTCTGTTCAACACACACAAAAAATGCATTTTTCCATTAAGGTGTTGTTGAAGTCCTAAATGTAATAACTGTCCTAAATGTAATAAAGTCCTAAATGTAATAACATTTGGTCCTAAATGTAATAAAGCCCTAAATGTAATAACGTTCGGTCCTAAATGTAATAAGCCTTCTATGCAATCGTTTAACTGCGCTAACATTGAGATGTTAAAGTGACAGCTGTTGCACCAAAGAATCCTCTGACCAATATTTATGGGATATTGCGGGCTCACTGATATTAATCAGCGGCTTTTTATTTGTTAAAGACGTAGGTTGAGAAGCATTGGCTACAAAACCTTATTCTAATACTGACGTGCTTTTGGCATCAAATCGACGGACGCAGAAGCAACGAGAACGTTGACTAATAGCTCTCTCTATATCATTGGCTCCGACTCTTAAGTGTATCAGATTTTGACGAAATACTTCTGTCCTCAGTGCTGAAGTTAACACTTGATGAACCAAATTACAAGGAAAAAGAAGTCCACCGACTTATACGTTAGACAAATTTTGGGCTCAGAAGGGCATTTTTTGTACTGTCTTCCCTTGCCAGATTTGTAAGGGTTTGCATAAAATATATTCATATGCGTTATTGACCGAACGTGAGGTCAAAATGGCTATATATTGGCCGAGTTCTTTTTTTTTTGTTTGCGTTTTTATCGATTGAGACGAAGTCACGGTCCATAAAAAAGTAGAAAAAGAATGAGGCTAATATCCAGTAATCTTGACCATACAAGAGAGTTTATATTCTCTTGGCTTAATCATTAAAGGATTTATTGTATAGCAAAAGATTTCGCTTTGATGAGAATCAAGAATGGCCTGTTTATTTCGAGAGCCGATAGTGAAAGCCAACTGTGTTTGCAGCACAATAAACCCAAGAGGGTCGTTTATTTTTTCTATGTATATATGAAAACATTGTCCAAAAGTTACGAACTTTGTAAGTTTTCTTGCGTGAGATCAATACGGGGGATCCCGAACGGGCGAGGGTGGGCCCATCATGCCCGCTCAGGTAGCCAATCAGAACACAGGATTCACTTCATCTTGCCCGCGTGCGCTGCTAGCTATATGATAATGTGACTTGCAGAGCAAGATATCGACTGACCAATGATATGTTATCCCATTTCACGATCACAGGTCTCGACATGTTGCCTTTTTTCCACGCAAGAGTCAAATTGAACCATAGAGCTACACCATTCAACACATCATGATCAGTTGGCGGTCTAATGAACCATTTATTTCTTTCCTTTAGCCCCTTATGACGGGTTCATCAGTTCCCGAACCGAAATATTAGGAAAACATACATTTTAAAGTTGATCTCAAGTTTATATTTCATTTTTTGTCTTCACCTCTTCTCCCCGCCGTGAGGGGAGAAAATGAATAGATAAATAGATGAATAAAAAAAGAAAGCTCAACAGTTTCCACTTATAGTCATATGGTACATGAACTGATTACTGAGGTGGAGTAAAGCCATAGAGGGCTGGAAATGCAACACCCCAGGTTCAAAATTGAATAAATCAGGATAGTCATTCTTAAAAATGAACTCAAATGCTTCATTAGAATTAATTGACACTTAATGACATTGATGTGCAAAATTTCAATAACGCTACTGATAATAATAATTTTCTTTTGGATTAACACGGTGACACAGCGAAATCATTCAAACTGCTCAAAAATGGTGCATCACTTCTAAAGACTTTAACACGAACGATAACATCAACAATAGCATGCTAGTTCATCATCAATTGTAGTAAATTTCTTTTCCAAAAAGTCTTAATGGTTACGTACCAATCGATTCCATCCTATTGAGCTTCCAGTCAAGCACCAGCCCACTTTGGGCTGGAAATGATTTTCTTCAACTCGATCAATAAACCGCTATAGGGACCATACTTCGACTGCTATTTCTTATGTCTAGCAAGTAAAAAGACGCTGATTGATATCAGCGGGCCCCTAATGTGACATGTATACTGGTCAGCGGTTTTTTTGGAGAAACAGCTATCACTAACATAACAATGTGGATGTCCGCCATAACAACAATGCACTGCAGGAGTTTTTTTAAACGATTGCATAAGAGGCTTATTACATTTAGGACTAAATGTTATTACATTTAGGACTTTATTACATTTAGGACCAAATGTTATTACATTTAGGACAGTTATTACATTTAGGACTTCAACAGGTGTAAGCGGCGCGAAGCAGCAGATTGCGCATGCGATCTCTTCATAACTATTTCATTCACCATGATTAAATTATTTTTTCCATTAGGGAAGGGTAAACGTTTTTACGATTTTTTTCGATGACTAAAACTGTTTGATTGAAAAATCTGTCTCCAACGAAATAACCGTGCGCAACCTACGTGACCCCCGGCGTGAATTTTTGTCACACGGACGCTGACGATCATGGCCATTAAAACCAGATTGTCTACGACCCTTGACATACAAATAATTGTACAAATATTGTACATATCATGAATTTAAGATCTGGTCACGCGAGAACTGGTGGTAGGGAGGCAACTACCGAGTTAATAAGGAGAATAGACTATAAGTATGCAGCGAAATTGTTGGCGCATCCGTTTGCGGTTTTTCATGTCTTTGTTTGATTCCTCAAAATAAGTGCATGTGTTTCATATTTTTAGCCCGTGAAGATTAGAAAGTAGGAGATCGATGAAGTCACTTCAACCGTGCTAAGAAATGTCTTCTGTGATCAAGAGCCCAATCTGGCTACCAATCTTTACTACGGAATTTCTTGTGATAGTGATAATCAACGTGCTCACCCTGATGGCCTTTGCTAGAAACCACCGTCTACGCAATCGCAGCACATATCTAGTGATGAACCTGACCGTGGCCGATCTATTGGTGGGTTGTCTTACTGGCCCTGCGTTCTTGCTCAACACGACTGAAGAAAGTGTTATATGGCGAAAGTACATCACATTTGCTGCCTTAGTCACATTTCCGTTTGCTGCCCAATCTAATCTTTCGCTCATTTGCCTGGAGCGCCTTCACGCAACAGTTTTTCCTTTCAGGCATTGCTTACTTGGAAGATGGTTTTATTGTAGAATCATAACAGGCAGCTGGATTATTTCCTCAGTGATGGGCTTTGTGGTAGCCTATTTGTTTTTAGAAGGCTCTTATGCCGCAGAGTTCTCCTACTTATTGGCTTCATTCACGCTGTTCAATACTCTTGTCCTTACAGTATCATACAGCATTGTTACGATCAGTGTCCAAAAGAGCCCTCAATCCCAGCATCGTGGAACATCAGCCAAAGAAAAAAAACTAACTGTGACATTGTTCATTGTCATTGGAGTTTCTGTTCTCGCCATGATGCCTGTTACCCTTTACAAGTTTCTGCCAATCAACATACAAACAAAGCTAGCTTCAGATCGTTACAAACACGTTGGCTATGCAATAGATGTGATATATTTCACCAGTTCCATAGTAAATCCTATTGTATACGCTATAAGACTGAGGGAGTTCAGAAACACAATACGTAAAATTTTAGGAAAGCAAGGAGAAGCTGGTGTGGACTTTACATCGCGCAGTGCGCAATAAAGTGACTTTTAGTGGAAACACACTCGTGAACATAAAGGAACAACAATTCAAGGGCTAACTACTATGGAAAATTTCTGGAACAACGATAATGTAAGTTCGAAATGGAAAATGAACAGCTGTTCCGTCCTGGCTGTGTTCGCTCTTATACGGCGTGTCAGCCTGAAATAGAGTAGCCTGTATCAACACATATTATCCCATGAATGAAAAACGACTCTGTTTAGATAGGATTCTTTGCATATCTCAAGTATATATCTAAGTATTCTCGTGCATGGTGGGTCTCGGAAAGCCACTTTACTCTAAAACATTTTGGGTTTATCAACTGAGTTGATAATGTAAATTGGCCAATGTAACTTACATTATAAATTCAGGGGATAAACCAAATTATCTAATAATACTTCCACCCCCCTCCCCTCCCCCCTCACACGCAGCACCAGAGTTTTTTAGACACTCACCCGCTATTAGGTCGTTTTTAAGGCATACAAACTGTAATAAGTAGAATAAGTTGAATCCAAAAAATATGCTGTCGTTAAGAAGAATGATTTGCTTGTAAATGTTCGTTAAGTCAGTAAACTGCAGTGTAAGCAAATGCTTAACACAATGACTCTCTTTTATTTTGCTTGTCTTTGCATACGATAGATGGAATTTGCGAGGAACGACAAAAAACGTTCGCATGCACCACTAAACTATGCAAAAGAAGTCTTGAACCATGTACATATTTGAATTTGCTCGTCTGTACTAAATTTATGGCAAGACCGAACGTATACAGGCGTTACTGAGAATTACAAATTGAATCAAACATAACAATGAACGAAAAAAAAAAAGTTATAAACCGTCATGACTCAACAAAATACAGCTGTAACAAGAATATCACTTCCCAGAAATACCAAGCATTTGTGATGTTATTTTAGGTTTTTTTATCGAACCTTTAATGTACATTTTCTGTGATAGGTGTCTATGGGGCGCTAAAAACATCATTTCTTACCTTTTACGTTTGGATATCGCCGTTCTGTATATGTTTTTAAAATCTTTTAATGACTATTGACTTACGGGAGATAAATTTGTTCCGCCACATCACCACCTGTCATGAAAGGAAAATTTATCGAATGTGATGAATTTTAATTTCAAAGGATTGTTTATTAAATGAATTGTCACGAGAAAACGTGCATCAAATTATCAACAGTCAGGGCTTTTTCCTTCTGTAAGAGAGCTGGCAATCGACAGTCCTCGGCGAGTATACCATACTTCGTCAATGACAATAAATTGAAAAAAAGGAAAGTGACGGAAAGTAAAAGACTTTTTTATAAGTAAAACTATTATTTAATAAGACTTCAAAAGTAATCAAGTTGTCGTGTGGCCTTAAAAATGAACGAGATATGACGTTGCCGTTTGAGGCCGCTTTTCATTTCTGATGTAATAAAACTTAAAAGACAAAGCGCTTCATATCAGTCAGAAGTCAAACTACATGAACGTGAAACCTGAGACATGAGGTTTAATCCAGATTCCGTTAAGGATAAAACCCCTAATTAAATGCGCGGCAAAGGTGAGTAACAAGTAATTTCTTTGACGTTGAAAGCCTTTCACTCGAAATCTTAGTTATGTGACCGAAGGCTCAAACGCTGTTCATAACAATTGTTATTATGCCGCGTTTGGGTGAAACGAAAAATTCAGAAACACTGAGATTACATTTTACCCTAAAAAGTCTTAAATCAAAGAGAGCCAATCATCCTCCTTGCTTGGGACATAAAACCTCCTCCATGGAAAAAAAGAGACAATTCAGATGAAGTAGCTATCAGGAATTAATTTCAAAAAGAGCTTCCGAGGATGGATAAAGCATATTAAATATTAGGCTGGAACTCAATCTCAGCATTGATCAAAATCTTTTTATAATTTTTCTCCCTGTTTGTTGAAGCCACTGCTACAGGAGCGTTCACCATGACATTTGCAACAAGCAGCAAACGATAAGCGGGCAAAAGTGGACATTTTTTCGTCTGCTATCGGCCGTTGATGCACCAAGGGTAATTAATCAGTGTTGCACTGCGCATCCTGTACTGCGTATAGACACATGTAGAAAGGGCGAATAAGCGCGCACGCATTCCGAGAGCGCGGTATTACTTTTCAATCAATGGACCTGGTTAAGAGGTACAGTGGTCTTTTGCTCTTGAGCGAGCACGGTGACTGATATTTTTTATTTCATACTTTTGGCTTACATGTATCCCCCTTTAAACTGAAGGGGGAAAAATATACATCTAAAAGCGTGTTCGAAGCCAGTTACTCGAGGATGGAAATTATTACCTTGAAAGCGACGATTCGAGGAACGTTTTGAGTCTATGTCGTTTAAAATTGCGTGATTTTTTCTACAAATTTTATATCAAATTGTTTCATAGGCTCGAGACTATCCAACTATGAAGTTTGTTTTCAAGTGTTAGTTTAAAAACCTTTGCTTGCAGCCGCTGAAAAATGTAGTGTGCACCAATGAAATGACGTGCGTAACCTATGCCAGTACAGGCACCAATGGGGTAGGTTTCGCCCATCATATCCTAAACAAGCTCTTATGTTCGTCTTCCCGTTACCTCCACAAGTTAATCTTTGTTTGATTTCCATGGAGCGGCTACACTATTTGATCAGGATATGGTTCTACTGTAGAAGCATCATGAGCAGTTTGTTGATGACCTTTATCGTGGCTTCTGCAATGGTCTGTTCAGACTTCAGAAGATGTACATCCAGAATTCTTGTGCGTACAAGGTAGACTGATTGTGCTTTTTCTCATATCATGGTTATTTTAGGAATCCAACATAGCATTCATTCTCCTCCTTGTGGCTCAATCCTCAAGGACAGAAAGCTTGCAGTAACAATTTTCATAGCTACTGGAGTTTCTGTTGTAACCATTCTCCCATTTGCCATCTTCTTTTCTCTGCCAGTTGCCTCTTAAGAACAATTAGCCAGTTTTTCAATCAGGCTACACTTAACTACTCAAATTCGTATAATAAGATGGCCTATGGGCCGCAGGATACATTTTACCTTATCGTTTTACCTTCGTTACTACAGTCCAACCCCAAGAAGGTAGAGCACTTATATTGGAGAGAAGAGTTTCGGGAAAAAATAATAATTTGCGAGTGCCTGTCAAATTACTCCGCGGTAAATGATATCCTTTGAGTACATATCAACCGACAAAAGTGTTTTAGTGGATGACTGAATTATGAAAGGTATATAAAAAGAGAAGGGAATGAAGATGGCTTTTAGAGGAGTAGACAATTATGTCTACAGGGATGGACATCGCTAATTGCTTGGTCAGGCAACAGTCATAATTTCCGATCACCACAAATTTCCAATTTTCATGAATATCAAATCAAGCTACAACGGAATTGTATTATTCGTGACTCTAAACTGATTGATGTTTGACGTTTTGGGCCGTTTTTAATTACTGGTTTAATTTAAGTCTAAAGTGAAACGAACTTGATATCGATCAACTGTCATCCTGCATGAACATAACAAATAAGAAAGAAAGTTTTATTCAGATTCAAATTAAGTCCAACAGAATAGAACCCTAGTTGGAGACACCGAGGAAGGTTAGTTGGAAGTAATTTTCATAAGTTGAAAACGTCTCGACCGAAAGTGACGTGTTCTAAGCGTCAAATTCTGTTCATAGCAGCTGCATCAATATTCTAGAATAGGTTGCTTTCAGCGAAGCTTTCTAGAGATTTATTCTAAATTCTGTGCAGGATTATGTTTCTCAGGATGAAAACGTCACAGACAACATGCAAAAAAATCACTTTATCATACAATCGGCCATACATATGTAAATTTGGTAGTTGCTGTCGTTTAAGCTGGTTGAGAAATACTTCTCTTTCCAAGTCCAAATAAGACAGTCTAGGTAAAAGAGCCGACCTATCTTATACTACCACTGGTCATGAATAATTTCGTCTGCGGCGCATTTTAGAATTCTTGTTGTGGCCTTCCTACGAATTTCTTAGTTCAACAGGAGTTGAATAAAGCATGAAAATTGCGACAGCTCGCAAAAGAAGGATAAATTTCCGTTTGTTATCAGACTTTCAGGCTCCAAAAATGTTTGCGTTTCTTTAATTAAGAAAGTCAGTCTCTTTTTATATTGGATCGATTTCACCATTATTAGGAAAGGCAAAAAAATAACCCTTATTTTTATTCATTGTTTTAACCCTGATTATATTCCTATACCCGCTGCGTATAGGAGGCTAGGTCATGACTCGTGATCGCCCTTTAGGAACCAAGAAACTGGTGAGAGCGAAGCACCACTAACCTTCGACGTGGTGGCCATTACCATCGTGTTTTTATGTCGCTAAGTCTTCGAACACTGGTCTAAGAGAACTTCAGCTGCCTGCTGCGAGGTTTGCTTGCGTGAAGCATAAAGAACATATTTTTAAAAGGGATTCAGAAAACAAACATTTTTCTTTTACAAAATTTTGTAGAAATCAGTTATTCGTTGCCAGTTAAAGGAATCTTCGAGGGCGCTTGCGGCTTCTCAATCGTTCGATTTTTAACAAAGGTTGCATGCCGTTGCAGACTTTACGAAGGTAAAAAGCCACTTCACCTCACGTCATCATGGGTTTTACAAGATGCAAATGTATGAAATGAAACTGTCTCCTCAAAAGTGCTTTGTTTGTCCTCTTCATTAACATTGTTAGTTCTATATTTTAAGTTCCCATAGTTCCAGGATAAAAGGCTTTAACTTTTGAAGGCGTTTCCATATAGCTCCTTTCATTTGCATGCGTGAACCTTTTGGTGGTTGCTATAAAGTATGATTGACCAATCTGCATGAAACTCGACGTAATAGCTGAGCAACGCGACCTGACGTTTCTACAGGTTTGTTGATTTTCAGTGTGCCTGTGCGAGTCGAGATCTGAGCCCCTTTAATTCTACAGGATATCTTGAAAATTAACTTGCAAGGAAGTAGGTTTATAGGCACCCCCGCCTTGACATGTATCGTTGAAATTTGCTTAACTAGACGACATAAAACACTAACTGCCAAAGTACTGCTTGAAGATGTTCCCGTTAACAAGGTTTGCAATTCAAATAGTCGTAGTCTTACAGTTTTCTTTTATATTTTTTTATGCTAGCTTGAGAGAAATCACATATGGCAGACTAATATATATTGGGCTCAGTCATCCAAAGAGATGAGCACGGAAGACCCTGTACACAGCAGTAATGCCTGGATTGTCTTATTTATCGCCGAGTCTATCGTGATCGTGATAAGCAACGCCCTCACTCTTTTGGCATTTGCTAAAATCCACCATCTACGCAAGCGCAGTACGTACCTAATAATAAACTTAGCTGTGGCAGATTTGTTGGTGGGCGCCCTGACGGTGCCTATTTCAGTACTGTATTTTCATAAAGATGAAGATCGAGTCGTCTACTTAGGAGTCCTTAAAACAACAATTATATTCATCTTCCCGCTAGCCTCGCAAGTGAATCTTTGTTTGATTTCCATGGAGCGCCTACATGCAACCCTTTTCCCATTCAGACATTGCTTGATTGGAAAATGGTTTTACTATAGAGGTATCATGGGCAGTTGGTTGATTAACTTCTTCTTGACAGCTATTATGGCTTGGTTGGACATCGCAGACATTCATCCAGAGTTCTTGTACGTTCACGGCACATTGATTGCGCTTTTTGTGGTTTTTATCGCGGTTTCTCACATAGTAGTTGTCATAAAGGTTCAAAGCAGCCGTCACTCTCCACCATGTGGCTCAATACTCAAAGAACGGAAGCTTACAGTTACACTTTTCATAGCCACTGGAGTTTCTGTACTGACTATTCTGCCTTTCGCCATCAATTCTGCCCTGCCAGTCGAAACACCAGATAGATTGACCAGCATTTCGATCCACATTGACCTGGCATTGGCGGCACTTTATCATTTGAATTCAATTGTTAATCCTTTCGTGTATGTAATACGACTGCAGGAGTTTAGAGATGAAATCAGGAAGCTTATCACGAGATGAATCAAAGCGGGTGGTAAACCGAAGAAACCGTTCAAGTGGCAAGGCATAGAGATCATAAAGGATCGAGATGCAGAGGTGGAGCAGGTGACTTGCGTTAAGGATTATGATAGGTGGCCTCGGATGAATAAACAAGTTTGCTCTGTCACGAAGATTTCAATGAATTAGTTGTAATCATTATACCTCCAAAAAGGTTGTAACATTATTATGGTCCTTGTAAGGCTGCCGGTTCATTGTGGTTTCGACCTATTATAACTTCGTATCCATCCAGGTTCAGCGTATTGAATTAAAAAACTCTTTCGATTAGATCAAATGTTTAGTTAGCAGATTTGTTTCGATTCCAGCCTAAATTCTAGTTCACGTTTTGGTGAGTTTGTTTTACCTAGGTATCATATATCATACCTTATTAAACAAGAAACTTTCTATTGAGTGTCTCGGTCTAAGTGAATGGCCTAAGGAGGTTAGAGAGTTTCAAGGCACAATTCAGTCAGTTGTTGTTAAGAACAAGTCTCTGTAAGAATCAAACAAATTTTAAATATGTAAAATCTCTGCGGGCCTGCCTCTACTTTTTATAGAGGCAATTCGCGAAAAAAGCTCAAATCAGATATTGTATAATTTGGCGATGTTTATATGTTCTCAACAACAAATGTTTCAGACAAATGAAACATGCACGGCTTTGGAAGAATGTTATCTTATGAGCAATATCCCGAAGAGAAATCTCGCCTCTGGTTGTCATCTTTTAAAAAAAATTGATCAAACCTAATGGAGGACTACTCGACGTAACTTTAAACATATACCTCAAATCGTGTGCATATCATCCAGATTCCGAGTGCTGCACCTTCTTTAATGGAATTTGAGCAACCCGAAGTCCTCTGAGGATACACTGATATACCTATATGTCATTTGAAACATGTTGAAGTCGGCTGATCTACACTAAAGTATCCTCACACCAATCATTGTCATAAACATGTACGTTATCACGATGGCGTGACGCTGTATTTCTCCATGAAGTTTCCGTCGGTCGCTCCAAAGAAGACAGGAAATTGATATTTTTCATTTTCCGCTTCTTGAAGGAAAAACAACCAAAAAAAAAAAGAGGAAAACCTTGATTGAACGCTCGTAAACGCTGAGAATCTAAGAGTATAAATCGTAACTTGTCAGCGGCTGTACTACAGGTAAAACCCAGTTGCAACCAAATCAATTTACCCCTTAAAAAGAGCAGATACGGGCAGTTATCATTTCCTTGTGACAGGAACTAAGATATTTCAAATCATCTGAAAACTGTCAGAAAACTGTTAAAAAATTTGCATAAGATATGACGAGGAGAGACTTATCACCGCCGCAGTGCTATCGAGTCAATCAATGTTTCCTTCTATGTCTTGATAAAGAAAAAATCATAACAAAGTTCGAAATAAAAGATTTAATGAAATCATAATATCATAATTCCACCTTTCAAACAACTTATTATCCACACGCAAATCGCAACTTGTCACTTGAACGAAACTCCCCATGGTTAATATGTAATCCGGACTGCTTCATGTCCTTCAGGAAAAAGAACAGCGATTTCATCACCATTATTTTCCATACTTTTCTCCCGGATATCTTTTACAAGCTTAAAGAAAGATGAATATAACGCAATCTCCCAGTGATTTACACGAGAGGAAGTCAAAGGTCTCTTTAATTTTCCCCTGAGGTGGCCGGCTCACCAGGAGGAAAAAGGAGATCGTTCGGTCTAATAACGTTAGTCTGTGGAGGCCATCAAGCTAATAGCTGAGAAGATTGTGTCCTTTGGTTGATCAGTGACAGCATTAATTATTTCAAATCTGTATTTCTCGGTCCAAGCGACATCAAAAATAGTTCCTTTGTAATTTTGTAAGCACTTTGTATAGCATTTTATTGTCAAGGGAAATAAATCTCAAGGCTCAAAGCCAATACAACGTTCGAGCACGTGAAAGACTCCCTGAAAAAAGCTAAATTTTGGAAATTGATTGCGATGAAATCCCTGTTCCGTTTTCTGTACTGCAGGGATACTGAGTAGTTCAAAATCTCCACTTTGTGATGATTTTCGCGCGAGTAGTACAAATTGCTATCGTGACGATGTTGTACATGTAGTACTGCCGCTGACAAGCTGCGATTTCTGCTCTTAGATTCTCAGTGTTTACGAGCGTTCAATTGAGGTTTTCTTCTTTTTTTTTTTAGTTATTTTTACTAAGAATGCGCGGAAATCTGCTGATACATCCAAAAATGTCCATTTCTCGTCTTCTTTGGGGCGATCGATGGAAACTTCAGAGAGAAATACAGCGTCACGCCATCGTGACAACGTACATTTTTATGACAAATGACCGGTGTGAGGATAGTTTCGTGTAGATCAGCCGACTTCAGCTTGTTTCAAATGACATACAAGTATATCAGTGTATCTTCAGAGGACTTCGGATCGCTCAAATTCCCATGAAAGAAGGTGCAGCACTCGGAATCTGGATGTTATGCACACGATTTGAGATATATGTTTGTAGTTATGTCGAGTAGTCCTCCAAGAAGTTTGATCAATTCTTTTTTAAAAGATGACAACCAGAGGCGAGATTTCTCTTCGGGATATTGCTCATAAGATAAATTTCTTCCAAAGCCGTGCATGTTTCATTTGTCTGAAACATTTGTTGTTGAGAACATTAGATGTAAACATCGCCAAATTATACAATATCTGACTTTGAGCTTTTTTCGCGTATTGTCCCTATTAAAAGTAGAGGCAGGCCCGCAGAGATTTTTACATATTTAAAAACTAAAATATTATAACCAGCTAGGTGGGTAGTTTCAGTTCCAGAATCGGTGTACTTTTGGAGAAATTCAGATAAACGTTTTCCCTGTTTTACCCGACAACAAAAATGACCGAAACTGTACCGAGATGAATAATCTCTTGGTGTGTGATGTCACTATGTATGGTAGAAGTGCCAATTTGTAATATTGTATTTAGCTTGAGATAGAGAAATAAACATTTCACTCTTTTTTTGCGAGGTTTTTGTAGGAAAATGAGGCTCCGAGCCTCGAACAAGCAGCCATTGTTACCATGGCAACAAGAGTGCTGCGACCTTTAAAAAGGGCATTTTTGTGCATCCCCCTGAGTGCCTAACTGCATGCAAAATTTGAAGGGGGGTTGAAAATTTTTATTTCCCTAGATGTTTGATTCTCACAGAGACTTGTTCTTAAACGAACTAAAAGCTAGTTGGTGGGATTATCTTTTATGCGTATTTTTACTAGAACAGTCACTCTGCCCAGCCCTGCCGATTATGACATTAGTAAAACCAACGCGCCACGTTAGTCATTAATTATCTCATACTCGGTGCGCTCTCGTAGAATAATTGTTTAATATTCACTATTCTTTACATTACATATGTAGTTGACTTCTCCAAAAGACGTATTGTTAATTATAATTTTGATTTAAGGATAACGACATTCACATTTTTAAGAATTAAGATGCTGAGGACAGTGCCTCAGTAAGCTGTTATTTTCAACTGCTTTTACACTTAAAAGACGTTTCTTATGTTATCTGTACTGACTATGTGCTTTACTGAGTCTTTTTAATCATAGGAAAATATAATTTACCCAAGCCTTATCCAGGCTTTAGTGAGCGTCATCAGTAAGTATGGCTATTATAATTCTAAAATTATGGTTTTATTCACAAAATGACAGGCTACATAGTCACATTAAAAATAAATCAAACAGTTGATCAGTGAGGCAAAAGGCCTAATTTTTTTGAACAGCCTTGACTGTGCTCTTTTCTGTTGTAACGCACGCAGGAAGCGGCTAGAGCACGAAAGAAGTGTAGGGAGAAACACGGGACGTATACGAAAATTTTCCCGACTTCTTGAGTACTCTGGTCGCTTCCTAAGTGCTTTACAACAGAACAGAGCATAGTCAAGCTTCCTCTATTGCTTTTATAATAAATAAAAAAATATAATTTTCAAAACAACCTTCATTTCCAAAGCGAAAGACAGTGTCGTCAACATGCTCTCTACTCTCATAAAGCACGCTACAATAAGCTACTCAGAATCCTTGTTAGAATGTTTAAAATAATCTGATTGGTTGAAAAAGACTAAAGCTGTCAAAAATGTCAAACCACCAAAGTTCACCATCTAAAGTAGTTTACGAACTGAAGTAGTTCGGCAGGTCGAATTTGTGCTTGAAGTTTTTTTTAGTTACTTATACATAATCTGAAAGTGAAAAGTCCAGTGAAATCCGGCCTAATTGTGGCTTATAAAAACACGCAAGTGTTTTTCACACGACAAGTAAAAAACAAACTGCTAAAGGCTTGCCTTTTATGAATGAAGGACAGCCGAATTCACGGGAACATGAAGATTGCTCGGGATGACAGCGCCGTAAAACTCGGTGTGACTGATGTGGCCTTCCACTCAACGCATCGGAAAGAACTGTAGGCTCTTAGTTATTGACTCGAAGGGCGGCCGATGTAATTTCTGAGGCTTGTTTCACTGCGATGACCGGAGATCGCCATGATGAGCTAACCCCGATGGACCTCAGCATGATCGGAAACGTTCTAACGCCGTCCTGATTAGCATGAATTTAAACAATTATGCCAGTTTAACTATATTCTTCATCATTACTGTTTTGTTCTGTTTTGTTTTTGAACACGAAAGTAAAATTAATATACTGCATGAGTGTTAGCTGTGTTTGATTAAGCTTGACGTAAGCTTGCAATCTAACTGAGCGTGAAAACCTTTAAAATTCAGACGGTCCATTTCGTTTTCTCTTTGAGGATTTTCGTCTCTGCTCATGTTATAATAACGCAAATTATGGCGCTTGCCATGTTTAAAAACCTTTAATTGGTTCTTCTGTTGCTACTTGCCGGCTTGCCTGCTCCGAAATATCACTTTTAATTAACAAAAAAATCTAGAGAGAAGTCCCGGAAAAGGTCGGACATAGTACAAACTGGCAGATGGTGTGACAGCTTTAACCAAGCTCTATGCTTTGTACTCTGATAGAGCGCGTTCTTTCAACCAATGAAACCGCGCGTTATATCCGAACTTTATTATAATCTGTTTCATGACCAGCGCAGTGACTCATGTTTGTTTTCTTTTTATGATTTAAATAAGGCTGACATGGCTTTCGTCGCCTCGAAGCAGTTTAAGTCGTGCAAACATTTTCACAAAGCCGGCAAAGGACTGGTCCTATAGCAGTCTTGAAAAACCTCGAAAATGGGCGTAACAGCAATATATTATTTTTCTTCCGGATATCATGAAAATCTTACAGCAACGCATACTTAAAAAAGGAGACAAAGACAGTCCTTTATGCATGCTTCGAAGTTCCCCATAATTTCCTAGCAACTACTTTTCAGTTTGTCGATAATTAGTTTTCAAGCTATTTTCCGCGTTTCGTTTTTAAGGGTAAATGTCACTCAGCATTAGTGTATGAATCAACTCTTCTATCCTCATTCACGACTAGCGGTGAGTTAGATCTTTTACTTTAAAAGAATATTTCGAATTTTAAATCACAAATTTAATGGAATACCTGGCTTGTTAGGTATTTCAGTCGAAAAATAGTTATTCTCCAAGTAATTGCCATTATCGAGTGAAAAGGAGAAATATCTGCATTCTTTTTTTAAAAGAGACACGCTCTTAATTTTTTCATTGGCATGAGTCTTAAATTTGAAAAACAATCTTTAATTACGTGATAGATAATATGCTCTTAGGCTCTAACTTAAACCGAATCTTCTTTATGAGAGCCATTCTGCATAAATCTAAACCGCGACTTACGGTTACAATCCAAATATTTAAATTTAGTTTTATGCAAGTAATCTTCAGGTCTTATCTATAGTCACACAACTGATCATGCTTGCTGCCACAGGCCAGGAAAACATAAGGAAAAATGAAATTTCTTAATTTTAGGGAAAGGTCAGGGAATTTCACTTTGGGTCAGTGAAAATTTACATGTTTGTCAGAAATCAGAGAAAAGTTAAATTTTATGTAAATATAAATTGTTTATCTTGTCTTGTCCTGCGCTTTTCATGATAAAAGATAGTGACACTTTTATTTTTGTGATGTCGATGGTGCTCATGTACATTGTTTAGTACAGTTGACAATTCCATGACCAGCCATCCTTTCCCTTTGTTATGAAAGTTCAAGTCGGTTTGTGCGTGAAATCATTTTTTCTTTTGTTCTTCCGTTTTCGAATCTTTGAAATTCTTTTGTATACTTCACAAACGTGAAAGGGAGAATTAGCAGAATTTTGTTTAATGAAGAAGTCAACGAAATCCTTTGTCATAAATACTTTCCGATCTACGCAGCAATGATCACTAATAGCGGAGCTCGCAGAGCGTAGCCCCATAATTATACAAAATGGTAGTAGTAACCCATAAAGCCGAAAAATTTGGACATATGACCGTACGACCGTACGATCGTACGACCGACCGTACAAGGTGCTACTTTTAACATGCGTGGTCAACTGTACCGCGGGCACGCCAACGCCACGGCTTTGTCCAGTAGTCCAGTGGTCAGTGCACTGGGCTCCGAGTTGGACGACCCGGGTTCTAGTCCTGGCCGGGGCAAGGCGTTGTGCCCTTGAGACGTGCGGGGAAAAAATATGCGAGCTCCACTCTTAGGCTTGGCTAAATCTATATATTATTATTCCTTTACAAATGCAACTGACGGATAAAACGAGCTCATTTCTAAAGCTTATATAAAAAGTATTCAGTCGAGATTACTGTCCATCAATTATTTATTATTCTCCCGTTTCCCGCCCTTCTCATTAGGCCTTACTTGAAGTGATGACAAGAAGTCAGATTACCTATATACAATTATTCATTTATATTAAACTGAAGGTGTTTATTTCAAAGGATGAGTCTTAACTGCTCACATACTTCCCCAGGAAGTATTTCACCATCATGGCCAGTTGTATTTTCTAAAATCATTCATAACAATAACATAATTGTTTTCAGGGTCTCACAACTTACAGTCGCTTTATAGAAAAAATTGCGGTCAAAATAGTTTATTTATCGACTATACAAAACAAACGAATCAATACAAAACCAAGTGAAACGAAGCGAACCTAACAAAGTGATAGCGGTAAAAGACGATTGACTGAAACATGCCGTAGAACCTTATCTGAACTAACGAAAATAATTCACTGGGCCGAAATATACGAAATGCAAAATAAAACTTAATTTGTAATATAAAAGAAGTACGTTATATAAGACTTATTAACAGAGCTACAAGAACGCGAAAACTAAATTCAGCAAAAGCGAAAAGCACGAGCAAAGACAATTGAGTAATCCTAGCCTACAAAAAACAAAATCCCCGACGAGATACAAGTGGTAAGGTTAGATGAGATGAAAAATAAATTAGATAGAATCTGTTCCCCAGTTTCGATGAAATGATTCTAGATCTATATATAATCTAGAGAGGGAAATAGAAACTCTGTCTTAAATCGATACTTTTTATGGAAATAACTGTCTGCTTATTTTAAGTTAAATGAGTGATTTATTTTCAGGTATCAAGGGCAGCTTCACCACTGAGAACTATGCAATCGATATCGTTTCACTAAACATAAGATGTCTTTTTTAAACTCTCAGGAAAATTTGTGAGGACAAAAATGATGAAAATTCGCCTGTGTACTCTCAAATGCCTTGTTATCTTACTTGGGGTTGCAAGTCTGATGATAATTGCAGGAAGGAATTTGTATCAAGAATCATTTGTAACGGAAGACAGCAATATTTTCAAGGAGACGCAGGTTGCAAAGCAATTTTTCAACCCCTTAGGTATGTTATTATTTGATGATTCAAATAATTTTTGGCTTCTCCAGGATTTTTTCGGAATAGAAAGAAATTTGAGTCCGAAAATTTGATAAAATGACGTAATGATCCTCGCGTTCAGCGACGTACGGTGATTGCAACACCCGTGTCACATATTCTCATAAGGTAACACCCAATATTTCTCAATTGAGAATGTGGGTAGTACTCAAGTGAAATGATCATCTGAGCCGTCTGGTGTGGTACTAGAAGACCGAGTAGTTTCGCTATTTGCTTTGATCGTCATTTTAAAGTTTACCCCGTTGTTTAATTTCGTGAGTTATGAAGAAGTTCAAACCTGTTTCTGTGAAAACGATTGTCCTCTGAAGAACTGGGAAGACCGTTATTCATACTCCGTTAACGGTCAGCTCAAACACAGCTGGTTCTCAGCCGAACCAAGGAAGCTCTTCGCTCCTTGAAGCTGTCGATGACCCCGACATTCCCGTATTTTCACCTGATGAGGCTCAACATTCTGAAGCTCATCGAAGAAACTACAGCTCCGTAGCTAACTGGGAAAAAATACGGGATAAACTGTTCGCAACAGCAGTGGGGGAAGAAACTCTCCCGGAGAAATATATTTGTGCCGTATGCAAACAACGAGAGGCGACTGTGCGATGTCGGTACTGCGGCTCGAGGCATGCACGTGGAAAGGAATCAATTCCACGTTCTGGAGCAATGGAAGGTATTTATCAACCACTGCTTGCATATATTACAATTGTTTGTATAATTAAAATATGGAAATACAGCTGTCAAACCTCAATAAGCTGATGGATTAACGCACTGTTTTGTAATCTCTATTAGCAAAGTTTTGCATTGATGACACGTACGCAGTATTGCATGTATTTAGAAAACAAGGACAAATCTATAAACTAACTGTCCTGTTTCAATTTCTTGAAAGGATAATAGATTCATTCCATTATTCCCTAATCCTGGTGCAACTGAATCCGGCCATTCTTGTTCTACAAGAATCCTCAAATGATTCAAACTAATAGATGCCTTCGGTAAGTTGGACACAAAGTCAAAGCTTGCGCAATGTTGACTTTCGAAAGCAAAGGTAAACAAGGTTTCAAAACGTTTGCAATTGTCAGAGGTTTTGAAGACAAATGCTTTTGCCCAGTGTTGGTGCTACACTATCTTCAATGATTTACGATTTTATCTTCATTGTGTTTGTGAGTGTACATCCCTTGCTTCTTGTTTCTACATATAGGTTACTAGCACCTGAAGGAAGTCGCCGTCTGTGACTGTGAAAGCCATGCGGTTACTTTGGTACGTTGTCAGTTCTGGCCAGGTTCACCTGAGAGACCGTCCGTGGGCTTCCATTTTAAATTAATAGACCTTGCTGAAAAGTTATTCCTGCACAGTCAGGTGTCTGTAAAGAAGTTTTCAGAGTTGATTTTGGAAATGACACCACCTTTGCATCCTAATTTTGTGAGTAGTTTTATTATTACAGTGGTGTTCTTTATAAGACCAGTGTTTTATTAATATACTGATAGATTTCTAGTGTGAATAAATTCTTTATTTTTAATATAATATTGACAATTGCTCATTTACATTCTGGAGAAGGAGGCAGTGGTTCAGCGCATCCAAATGTTTGGAGTGCTGGCCTTCAAATCTTAGCAAGTGTTGAATTTAAATGCTATCTATCCTGATATTCTAATTTCTAGTGACACCGCACATTGTAGAAATCTTCATGACTGTTAGTTTTCCCATTTAAGCCAAAAACCCTGCAAATGCCGAGGCCATCAAGTCACGTTGATGATCTTCCCGTGTGCTAACAATATTGTCTATATCCCTGCTTGAAACAGTATTTGAACCCAGGACCATACCCACAGCTGTATTTAATGCTAAATCCTATTTAAGAATATAGCATTAAGCCACAATTGACTGCACATGTACATGTGGTAAGTATGGATAAAACAGGAGTGAAATGAAAAATAATGACAATATCGGTGTTGTAAGAAAATGACTGAGTACATGTAAATCAAATATATTTTCCTTCTAATACAAGTACCTGTGTTAAAGAATTCAGCACAAAATAAATTGTAAGAATTTGGTCCTTTGACACCTTTGATTCTTTTTAATGTGACATCTGCAGAAGAAGATGATTCTTGTGGCCTTTTTCTTTTCTGATTCCCAATCCACTTCTGCAAAAATCATTCAGTGTAATTGTTATATTACTCATTATGTTAAAATTAGTATTAATAAACCACTGATGACAACTGAATAAACATGCATAAACTATTTAATATTCATTTTGATCAAAGACCATAAGTGTTATTATGTGGAAAAGGAGAGGAGAGGAGGAGAAAGAGGAGGTTTGCATCAGAACTATTGAGAAATACTACAATAATGCCTGACCATTAGTTACAGTATGGTTGAATAATAAAAATAATTACAATACAACTGAACTATCTTAAATTTGTACAGTTGAAGTCCTCATCTTTGCATATGATCTTCTTATGTTTATAATGTTTTTAAATAAAAACCTGACATTTCGGAATTCAATGGATTACCTTGAAAGGTAAATACACACGTATGATGAACGTGAATGATCTTTAGCCTGAGTAAAGCAGAGTTAACCGTCTGTAACTGTACCTGATCACGATCTAAAACAACATCTAATAAACTTTAACCGTTAGGCTATTATTGACGTATAAATGCATCTACGATCTATACAAATTGCTAGTTTTGCTTGATTCGTGGAATAATTGAGATAAAATAAAGCTCAACCTGGTATAAAGCTACAGCTGAGGTTAAAAAAATGATTAAGCTTACCTCGACTTGTGCCTTCGTCAAACCAGTGTCCGTTGACGCTTTTAAAACCATTTCCTTGTACATGGTTCCCGTTCCAACCATCCCTTCTTCGAAAAACCGCTCTAAAATACCTCTCTGTCATCTGAGATACGAGTACGTTTCGCCATTGTATTTCCTCACGAAGAACAACTACTATCTTGCTGGAAGCTTACTAGAAGGCACGTTGTGGAATTTGTTACTCGCGGGCGAACGCGGATTATTCCATAAAGCGACTTCATTGGCTGTTCTAGACAATGCTTCAAATCAGCGGCATCAGACTGCTCAGACGACCCAGACGATCATTTTACTCGGGTACTACCCACATTCTCAATTGAGAAATACCGGGTGTTACCCTATGAGAAAATGTGACACGGGTGATTGCAAATACCAAATTCGAAAAAGGCGAAGGTCTCTGGCTGGGGAAATTTTGTCATCGAGTCTGCCTTTTTTTTAAATTGGCTTTCACATGTTTCCAATGAGAGACCCATGCCCTTAATTTTTAATTAGGTAAATTAATCCTTTACGGATCGTAAATTGAGTGCAATCTTGCACCGCCGTAAGCTTCTCTTCTGTATCTCATTCCTTATTTTCAATGCTAGGGACGTCTTGTAAGCCAGAGCCTCTACTTGACAGCATAGCAAGGCTAAACGGAATGTTTGATGATCTCAAGACATTCGTGATGTTTATTGGATACTCACAGACTATAGAGAGTCGTACTGGCGCCATATTGGATGCGCATCCTCAGATTATCCTTCCGCAAGAGTACGATGTCTTAGGGAACTGGAAAATGTATCAAAACAAGAAGCTCAGGGAACGCGGCAAGCAAAAGTATATGCTGTTTTTCTTCTTGCATTATCTTTCCACTTTTCAAGCTATTTTTCGAAACCAAGCTAATAAACCAAGCCAGTTCTGGGTATGGACATCCAAAGTCGAGAGTGCTCGGTATTACCCACTTTCTGATACATGGCAGGGGATAATAAATGGCAAGATTAAGGTAAGCTTAAGAACAAACTAAAAATGAATGTTAGACATTAATCAAACAAATTACAAGTAAATTTTCTGAGACAAAATCAATGTTCTTTTAGTTTTAAACCCATTAACCTTTTCTGCATATATTTGACACAGAAAGACCAACAGAAAATTTCCGATTTTGACTATTAGGTGCTTTTGTGTGCATTCGTCTGTGAAAAGATGAAATTATTAGCAGCTTCATCAATAGGAATTTAAACGATAATTTACAACTTTTCACCGAAGTAGAATTAAATATCTTCCACTCCCATCGACACTGAGGTGAATAATTGTTTTAGCATATACCACAGGTAACCAAAAAATTCGTTCATCTCTGTCAATGTACCAAAAAAAGGTCGTAAAGTAAATTACTGACGACTGATTTTGTCTCTTCGGCTCCGTAGCAGCCGATCAGCGCGCACGAAAAGCGCTATTAACCTGTGTGGTATATGCTAATTGGGGTTAGATAGTAAGCTACTAATTCATCATAATTATCGACCTCTTGAATGTGAAAGAGAGCGAGTTTTCAATGAAGGGGCCTAGGAATTTACCCGACGGGAAAACGATGTCAATAACTTCCTGTTGTTGTTCACATTTTTTAGCCTTAATTTGCATTGATATGAAATTGGTCCATTAGATACAGTATTACTCAATTTAAGTTCGGGAGAGTAATTTTCATAGACTTGAATCAAAGGCATTGACACCTGAAGGGCATGAATCATGAATGATAAGTTCCAACTATTTCATAGCCAGTTTTCGCACACTTAGATAATCAGAAACTTGTCTTTCTCCTAATTCTTGGGAAATATTTTTATAATGCTTTTATCGCCTGGAATGCTTTGACAACCAGCATGATTCACCAAATGATACCACTTGTGTAGTCATGTATAAGGATAATCATAGAGCAGAAATTCTAGATTGATTCCATGCTGGCTTGGTAAATTCACAATCAGTTTAGAAACGACAGTCGTCGAAATTATTACTCGCTATCAACAAGGATTAATGATTTTCCTTTCGCCTATAAGAATACGTGTATAACTGACTCATCGGGTAAGAACGAAACCATTAACTTTTCTTGCAGGTTATTGGTGACACCAGTAGTGGTTCAACCACTAGACAACTTACCAGGAACCAAGGAAACTTTACCGTGCTTGAAGACATCCAAAATGTCATTGGTATTCCACTGAAATTTCTTCACACTATTACAAACCCATATGAAGTTATTGCTTTGAATGTAATGAGACAGTCCAGATCTGCCGTAGAGGTGAGCCACGATTGGTCATTTGTTTGCAATTGAATCACCGATCAACTTTTCTTATATTAATTAAGGTAGACAAGAATGACTGATACCAAAATGGACGAGGTATGAGGCCGTTTCCATTTTTATGAAAATCAGTAGAAAGATGAAAATTTTCCTACTTATGGAGCGGAACAATTGTTTTTTCCTCCAACAGACTGGAGAAAAGACATGTTCCTTTCGAAAAGGTTTTTAAAAGTTTATTTAGCGATTTAATTTGCGCCAAAAAAAGCCAGAAAAAAAACAGTCAATTAAATTACTAAAACGTCGAAAAAACTTTTGAGGAGTATCTTTGAAATAATCACCATTTTTTTCAAGAAAATGGAGATGTTCGTTCCCACCGTAGAATACTGGTTTTCCTTACAAACGGGGAGAGCTTGTAATGTCTCTTTTTATGCTGAAATATAGCATTTTGATTGAATTTTCCACCTCTATTTCATTACCAGATAAATGACGCGAAGGATGTTTTCGCCCTTGTGGAGACAAATGCACAAATAAGGAAACTATATGGTGATGCGGTATTAGACATTTCTACGGACGATTATATCAATAATCCAAGGGAGACCATGATACAAATTTGTAGATTCCTACAGGTTACATGTTATAATAGCTATCTCGATAAAGTTGAAAAAGAACTTAATAAGGAGTCGACGAGGGCTCGGGATCAGGTGATTTGGACCGACGAGGAGAAGGAGTGGGTCGCTGCAGAAATAAATAAGTACTCTTTCCTGAAGTCTTTTGAATTTTGAAACTTTCATGAAAAAGTATTTTATTGATTGATGGTACGAGGCCCTAAACGAGTACTCTAGTTATTGTTTCGTAATTTTTCTGGTAAAACAAGAAAACATTTAAAATTGAGGAGATTTTGAATATTCAAAAAACATCTTAAGCGGCAGGAGCTCTATAGAGGGGCAAGGACATACAGAATAGCACTGGCGTTACCTCCTTCCTAGAAGTGTAGAATTTTATCAATTGACCCTTAAGGACAGTTTTTAACATATACGAGGTGAAGCGGGTCGTATAGTTCATCATAGCAATTTGCTTAAAGAAAGAGTAATTTGCCTTAGCGCCGCAATTGCTATTGTCTGTTGTTGAAGAACCTTAGCAAGGCGTTGTGCAATAAATTAATGTAAGCAATGGGACCAGACATTTCAGTTGATACTCAAACCTGACTCCAAAGTGTCTAATCCTTTAGCTCCCATGGGTGACCAAGACAGAATTTTTCTTTACAATATCACAACAATATCAAGCTGACAGGTGATGAGGACAAAAAAGAATACCAATTAGGGGATCAGTAGTTGATCCAATACCTAATTGTCCGAACTAACATCTAAGAGTTACATGACCCACAATAAGGAGAACTGCTTATGAGATCTGGGAGTTAAAGGGTTAACAAAAGTGTTTGATCTTTGGATACTTTACCTCAAGCGAAAAAAGACGCCATAGCTATGTTAATGATTAAGCATTTCGGATGCAGGTCAAACATTTAAATAAGTCACACAGTAATCAGTCACTCGGTTAGTCAACCGATCAGTTATATTGTTATAATTTAGTAAATTTGTCAATAACGTAGTCTGTTAGTTAGTCGGTCATGCAATTAAACCAACTTTTTCCTTATGTATTTCAGTGGCTCGCTTCTACTCTGTTCCGACAAATTAAAATGTACACATCTGCTTAATGCCATTCTATCACTAGATAAAATATTTCAGTCACAGCATTGAAAATGTCGCTTCTCTATAGTATGAACTGTATTTTTTACGTTCTCGGATCGGGAAACTTAAAAAAACGTGACGTGTAGACGAATAGTATTTTTTTAAAGATTCCAGCAAATTTCGACGGCTGTGAAAGTTAGTAATTAAGGACTTCAACACGCATCGAGGAGTCAGCTGTGACGTTAACAATCATCATACTAGCGTATTCCGACAACTCGGGGGGACCCAGGTAAGTTTTTTGCAAAGTTCATTGTTTTATCAGTATTCCCCTTCAAATCTGAATGATTGAAAGAGTGGATATTTTCTCATCTCGTCTTGAACTCTCTGCTTCTGTTCTTCAGTCCACGCGACCGATGTTCTTGTAATAGACGGTTTCCCATATAGGATACTTTCAGCTTGTTGAAGATAATCGCTCTTGCAAGTGACGTCAAGAAATTTACATACTGCCATCATTGTTTCTTTAGGTTTTGATATCAGTTCGTGACTTAAAATATCCAATACTGTGTCATCGCCATACGTTTGTCGAATTTTTTCATTTGTCTCAACCAGTTCGAAGAAAGACTTTATAAAACCATCAAGCGTTGCTGGTTTATTAATCTGTGTGATAAACACATATTAACGCAAGATATTTGATTGCGAGGTTTCACATGCGAAATCGTAGAGAGGACAAACATTAAATTTATCAGTAAATTAGCTATCAAGATTGTGTTCAATAGGCCCGTATTCATGCGGCGGGAAGAACCGGAAAATGGAGTGTCCGAGAAATGACTTATGCCATCATTGTACAATATTCGAATTTGCGCGTTTTCACTAACCTGAATTAGAAAAGGAAGGGGAGGGTTGTGGTTTCCTAAGAACAACTTTAGCTACACTCATGATAAAAAAATTGAGATAAACGTTTTTACTGGATCAAGTTATTTTGAGCACCATAGATTATTCCCCATTTTCCATAAGTTATACTTTTAAGTTTCTAATTACAGCAAGAGATAAAATGCGCAGGTATCGAAGGACTGATCCCTTACAACGGTACTTTACGTGCTATGCAAATTAACTTTAATCGGCCGAAGGATTAGACCTCACCTTAGGTAATCCATCGCTCGCTTTGCGCCTTAAATTGAAAAGCCTTAGTAACCAGGTGGAGATGACGTCATAAGGATTTCTGACGACGTGAAGAAACCTTAAAGAAATGCCAAGCGATTCATTGAGTTCTTTAAGAGCAGCAAACTTTTCAGGTTTTTCAGTAAGTTCCATTGTCGTTCCACCTCCTTTCTTGTCTCCAATAACCTAGATTTCGATTCATAATAAGATAGATTATCTTGATTGTACATCCACTAAAAAGTGAGAACGTTAAACCTCTGAGCGTGTTGGTCTTATTCTGTTAATGTTCCATTGGTCAATATCTACTCAAGTTTAGCTTCTTCAAGATGATTTTCTTTCTGCAGTACTATGTAATACTTTCTGACGTCTTTTATCCCTGCTGAGTGGATTTTGTGCCGCTCTCATCAGACGGCTAGATGGTTTTCACCGTAGATAACGGTAATTGGATAAATTTCTGAGCTTAGAAACCGTAATTTTTTCCTTGTTTAGGATGCATTTTTTCTTGTTTTTGGATGATTTTATCCTGGTTGATTTTGGCTGCGCAAGTAACAAAGCATTACAGGATAATAGGATGAGTAAAACTTACCCTAAGTTTGTCATTGAATGTCCCTTGCCAAGAGCCAGGGACATTGTAAGAATATATACCATCGTCAATGAAGACAGGTTTTTCTGCTCGGTTACCAAAGGTGGCTTGCCACGTGGATAACGAGTGCAGATTATAGAAAAGGAGATATTTCAGCAAACCAGATTTCTTGATTGCTTCTTCTTGGAAAGAATTCCAATGCTGTATGATATGATACTCGTGAGGAATTATTATTTCAGGATGAGCATCCAAAATAGCTCCTACAAGACTGTGAGAACTTCGAGGGTAACCAATGAACATGACAAATGTCTGAACATCATTGTAGAGCTCATACAGTTTGGTTAAGCTGTCAGGAATTCTACCAGGAAGACATGGAGAGTCTCGAGATCCTTGAAGGAAAAAAAATCCTTTGTCGGCGAGAAAGGTACTCTTTACAGGAATATTTCGCTGTTATAAGTCTGTATATTGAGACTGAATAACAGATCCTGCCTCTGCGCCTTAAGTCCACCCTGCCTAAGCGACAAAAAGAGCTGGATGGTAGAACAAGAACTTCCAGCCGACTTTCGTTTCCCAGAGGTTCATGATTCGTGCTTCTTTTTCAGGTACTTATGATGTAATACGTATTTGTCTGCCTTTCGCAGACAAACGTACGAGAATATTTTTGGGCCACGCAGAAACTAACACATGTTTGATTTTTTTGCGCGAGTTTTACTTTTAAACCGAACGTCATTATCAGTGTACTTAACGTTTGCTTTTACCACGAAACCAATTTCTAAAGACTAAATTATTCCCAAGTGGGCCTCTCTCATTAGACTTTTTGATTTCCATTTACATCTGGCCACTTTGAATCGCTATTTCACCTACTAATTCAAATTACTTACCCAAGGAGGATTTATTCGTAGAGAGGTCTTTCAGAGGCGATGATGTTCCGTCATCATTTTCATCTAATCTGTTCCAAAGATACCATCCAGTTGTGAGTAGCAAAAGAGTCAAGACAACAAAGGTATTTTTAAACCATTTCGAATACTTAAAGTAAAATTTCATCTTTGCATCGTGCATATCTGTTGGAAAGAAAAAATGGCACATTGTATTCCTCGATTAATCGCCAAGCGCCACTGTTTAGTAAACCTGTCAAATTTAAGAAGGTGAAGCAAGCACAATTTATTTTACAAAGTAGTCTGAGGCTCACTCACAGATTCTATTGACGTTTGAACTTAAGGATTTTTTTTAAAAGCAGTGAAACGGTGAGACCACGTCTAATACATGGCACACATATCGAAGTGGTTTCGTCAGTGGCATTCGTTGACTATGAAGGCACTCGGCTATCAAAGGCTCGACTTTTTTTTAAAAGGTTCTTAACTAAATTATTCAAAACGCAAGTGATTTCCAAATCTTAAAAAAAACGCTATTAGCAATAAAAAATAGGAGAATATAAAGAAAGCGGAAAAGATGAACAATATTACCTGATGGCTTGAAATGCAGCTCCGTTTAAACTTTGGATTCTTAATCTCGCCGTTACGAACACTAAAATTAAAAATCAAGCGCTGGTAATTATGATAGTTTATGTAACTTCTTATAAATGCAAATGTACGCGTGTCACATACAGTTCTTTCGTGACGGCACGAAACAGAAGCTTAAAATGAAAAATATTCTGAAGTTACGAAAGCATTTCTTTTAGTTCCACTACTCAAGGTCCCTCTTTAAAACTACGTTAGTTTCCGGTAGGAACTTGTAACAAATAATACACAATTATACTTTATAAGTCAAATCGCGAAAGTAGGCGTTAACCCAGCTTCATAAGCCTACTTGCCTTAATATTTTGTCGGATAAAGGTCTGTAGTGGCCTAGCATTTTCTAGAGGAGGAAAACTTCCAGTCACGCAACGAACTGTTTCCCAATAAAAGAATTCAAAGCAGATCATGTTGAATAGCTCTCCTTATCCACAGAGTTTTCCTGCATATCATCTGGGTTTCACTTGGAAGCTGGCAGAGGAACTACTGATAAGATGGTCAACTTATAATTGAAATCAGTATCCTTTTTTTAGTTAAAGGTAACCTGTCACGAAATTGGAAACCGGAGGAAATATAGTTTTCCCCCTCTATAAGTCCCAGAACTCTGTACAACTACTCAACCTTCCTTACAATTATGTGCGTGCAGAAAAAATATATCTATAATCGATTTAGAGGGATTAAAGAGCTTTTACTCACCAAACGATTCGCCTGTAAGTATCACTTTTGAATCTTGATTGAAGCAAGCGTCAGAAGAACGTTCTACGTGATTGCCGATTGAGACCAAGTGCTTAGCGACCAAAGCGAGTTACGAAATATGCAAATATCAATTAAGGAAAGCGCCATAGGCTTTTTTGTGTTGGATTTCCGACAGTGTCAGCTTGATATTTGCCTAAAGCAATAAATTATATCTTTTTACTTGCTCTTCCTGAATAGTTGCGTGGATTTCAAAGAGACTCCAGAATATGTTAAAAGCTGTAGGTCTATATTCAGTTTTTATATTGCTGTATAAAAATTGCTGTATAAAAAAAAAAAACAAGATGACTAGAGGAATAAGAATAATTTATTATTCTAATCAAATCCCTTTATCGCGCAAAGTAAATTCATTCCAAAAGCTTTTTTTGCGGCTAACGGTATTTCGTCACAAAAGATAATGAAAATTAAAAGGGTAGGTAGCTATAGATGAAGCGCAAAACGTATTTTTTAAAATTTTTTTGCTCAGTAAATTGTTTGACGGTAGAACGACCGTAGTCAGCCAAATACTTTTAACGTCTGCAAAAGAATTAAAAAACTCTGTTTTGCAACGAGTTCGACCAGGAATATTGTTGATTAGGCATAACGATGTGATTTCAACACATTTCATGCAAATTTACCTGTTGGAATAACTAGCTAGTGGTAAGTAGTTTGTGTATGTATTTAGCAGCCTTTTCACAGGTGCGTAGACCACGAGTAAAGCATTATCCCCTCAAGTTTTGGTTGACACTTAATTTTGAATTGGGCGATCAACGGCAGTCGAGGAGATAATGTGTTTGTTTTTGATGTTGTTGTTTACTTGTCTTATTATCTTTTTTCATCTTTCAAACATTAAATGATGGCGAAAAAATTTTTTTTGGAAAACCATTTTTAATCATGGACCCCAGGATAACTCTAAGCATATATCACAACATCTTTTAAAAGTAAAGATGCAATTAATGCCCCACGGCGCAATATTGTGCTGACATTTAAAAGAAGGTTGCAGATATTGGGTAAAAAGGTGGGAGAGTATGAGGAGAAAGGTTGGGGAATACACGGGGTAAAGGTGGTGATTATTGACAGAAAATGTGAGGATTTATAACAGAGAAAAGTGGGTAATTACTGAAGAAAAGGTTTGGCCATTTAAGTCTAAAGATAAGTTAGATGGGGCAACCGTGGGGAAATACTGAAATAAATGAAGAACAGGGAAGTCTATCCAACGATAGAAGTTGCTTCATTTTTTGGTGTTAAATGGCAATTTGACAGTATAACCAACTATTAATTAACTCTCTTTCTCGTAGTTAACAAATATTATGTTTATTGAGTCGTGTCAAATATCTGTTCATGACTATCAGGCCACCGGTGAGATCATTTCTTTGTCTCGACTTTCGACTAACGACGTTTCAGATTTTCGTTGACAAGTTGTACGGATCAGGCCTTAAGACTATTGATTCCCTAGATTAAACATACAAGCCTCCCGAGGACTTTGTATGTACAATTCGGCCCTTATATTGATTCTATAATGTAACGAATAGATCAAGTACATTGATTTTATCCAAAGAACCGGTGCAGAACTTAAAACATGCACATTTACCAGTCGATAATTTAAAATATCAGCCAAATGTGATTCTAAATTACTAAGAGTAAAATAAATCGAATAAAGGTTTTGAGGGTAGTTATTTATCTTAATTATATACCTCTGGAAAATCAGTTTTCAACTTTGATAAGTTATAGCTGCTTATAAACGCTCCTCGTATGTGTGGTGCATTATTTTGCCAAAGTATGGTATAAAACAAGTGATACTGGGGGCGCTGTGATATCAGGTGAAGGGGTGAGACTGTTTCCTTGTTAAAGATATTGGATCTAGTGAGCGACTTCTGCCAGGAAATGATACAGGCTTCCTCTTCTTTTAGGAATATCTAGCTCTTCACCTGAAAAAAACCACAACGGAATATACGATTTTTAAGTGAATCTTACTGGGCGATCATGAGGCGAGCATATAAAAGAAAAGAAAAAATCAAAACTTGTTTATTTACTGTGGATCTAAATTGTTAGCTCATAATTAAACACATTTTTCTTTCAAACAAACCCACTATTTAAAGATTAATCATGGCAGTACTGATCGTACAATGTAAACTCACTTGTTACTATCAACTTTTCCTAAACCCCGTCATATGAAAAAGACGATATCCTGTTTGAGTATCTTATAGATCTCTTCCTTTTCTGTTCATGCAAGTCCTGGAATTCTTCAAAGGATATCTGTGTTGAGAGGCACACTTACAAGTTAACTCAAGATGAGCAAAATGCTGACGCGTCCTCTTTCTTGATTACTCACAGAATTTGAGAAAAGTAATTTCTAAGCTACCGTTTAAAATTGCAAATTTAAAGAGGTTCAATATTATTAGGAGAATGTATCGGATAAATAAGTAGGAAAACAACGATACCTATTTTGCAATGTTTTGCGTCTTGACTCAACAGAAATTCAAAAGTTACCAAAAGTTGAGAACGTCGAAGGATAGAGAGAAGGAATACCGACTACGAAAGGCTAAGTTGGCATGGTTCTTAAACTCCTTTACTTGAAATGTGTTTTTATTGTCAATCATAATTTTGTTTCACGAAAAAAAATAAAAGAAAATACCAAAAAAAATTACTTTCAAAGTACTGATCTTTTGAATAAGCTTTAGTTAACTATGGAGTGCCAGACTAATGCTTGGATGCTTGCACTTTCACTCCTTATTGATGGGTTTAAACCGCCTTACAAAACGAGTCGGGCTGTAGCCATCAGATGTAAAGTTATATCTCGAGCTTGTAAAATAAAACCTGTGCAAACTTAGTCATGAAAAAAGTTACTGACAATGTTTAAAACTGAAGCTTAATGTTCCTTTGAAGTTAGTAGTCCTATTGAAATAAAGGGGCACCTATAGACTGCATTGTTTTAACTTTGCCGTAAGCATAAAATGCTCAAAAGGTGAGATGGTTAAAAAGGGCTGCGCATTTCTACCAAACTACCCTCGGCTGACCATCAAGGCGTCAAAAGCAGTTGCTGTTGCTAGAAACCAGCTTTTTATCCCTTTTAATTCCTTCTTCCGTATACAAAAATGCCGACTATTCTTTTGCTCTGATAGCAGAAAAACAAAGTAAATTTAGGAAAAACACCTTAGAAATTTTGCATAAGATAAAGACCATTTCTAACGGAAAGGGTATCTTGGCCTTTTCTACTGCCCTGCTCGGTGCTTCCTTAAAATTAATTGCATCTTTCTTACTGGTGAATGGCGATAAATCTGAAGGGACATTACCCTGATTTGATTGGAGATGTAGCAGAGCCAAGTATCATTATTATTAATAAGGTAAATACTCATGTCTGCTTTTGCTGGTTATGCTTTGCTTGGCATATTTTATCCTGCAGCTCAATTACTTTATCTTGTAGCTCATTAAATTTAGTCTTAATCACATGATAAGCAGCTGGTATTGAAGCAATATCACTAAGTTCATTTGTGTTGTAAACTGGACCCAGACCCACAGAAATGACCGTCACCCCTGCTCTGTGAAGCGCTTGAGCGGAAGCTTGGACATTGTCCCGCGAGGTGCCTCGTGTGAGCACAACAAGAACTTTGGGGACATTTATCCGACTGGCCTTATCAAACAACTTTTTACTTGCTAAGGCCAAGGCTTTTCCTGTCATGGTAATGGTTCCAGGATACTTAATGTTCTCAATAGCGAGGGCTAAATCCCGAGGGACGAAATATTTGTCGAAAGGAATTGACAGTGTGGGTTCGGTTCCAAAAGTGACGGCCCCAACCCGAGTTCCTTCAGGGGAAATGTGAAATCCTAAAGAGACATTTTTAACAAAGTCCAGCATTTTCTTGAAGTTTCCTTTTCCAAGAACCTCGATACTCCTTGCACCATCGATAACAAATCCGAGGTCGGAATGGCACTTTCTCTGGGTCTGTAATCGAGCTGCAAGCAAACATGCCGAATGATTCTAATTAGTCTTACGATTAGAATGAGCCTTGAAGACAATTTAAGTTAATAAGAGAATTTGCTGTCTCGCGGATAGAGTTACATTTAGCGGCAAAGCGTCGGAATGAAGTCGCACTATTCTATGACAAGTTAGCAAAGCGATGTTATTTGAGTATGTTAGAGGCTAAATTTCTGAATAGATCATAAAATATCTTAAATGATAAGATGCTTGACACTGCAGTGAACGTTAGAGATTGACTGCTAAAGATGCTGAGAAATCTTTGTGTGTGGGCCACTTGACGGACTTCTATGAAAACTTCTCGTCGATATTTATTACTTGCCAATTAATGAAAAAATTGAACGTGTGCCTTACGTCTCGTCGATTATGGGTATTAGGACTGAACATAACTAATTCAACAAACTCATCGTAGTTTGATCAAAATGAATGGGTAGAGTACTCCAGTAGGTTGCATTCCCTCTCACTTCTTAGTAACTTAGTTCTACGGCATTTTTGGAATTGGCACTGATAGGCTCTAGAATTAACTCATGATGTATCGCGAGTTAAGCTTACAGGTACATCCCATAAGGCGTGTGTCCCAGGTTCGCATATTATGTCAGTAAAACCAGATACACTGGGTCTAAATGTAAATTAAAAGAGTTATACCTTTAAAATAAGGCCTACATAGGGGACGTACTCTCTTAGCATGTTTTTCTCTTTTAATCAGCTATCCAAGTTTTCTGTTTTTTTCAAGAATTTCTGGTACCGTCTTTCAAATTAGAGTATGTTTCCCCGCTTATTTAACATTCAAACGCATCTTCACTTAGTTTCGGTCTTTCCCGCACGTACCTATATTCACGTACTTAAATGTGGATAGTCATTCCAGTCAAAAGCTATATCACAGGCTGCTTACCTGCCCTTTTCGCTGACTGACATATTTCTTTTTGAATTTTCCCCATGAATGCATCGGCATCATTAAATGGAGCTAAGAACACGTGACTGCTCTTGGGCTCGGAAGCGATGATATCAAGTTGTGTTTGATTAACATTGCTACCTATGCCAAGGCAGAACACTTCGATACCCCGCCTTTTGAGTTCTATGGCAGGTCGACTGACGTCATCAGATGAAAATCCGTCGGTCACCAGAAGCAGCACCTTGTGTTTTGACGTGGGAGGCTGACTAAACAATTGCTTTTGAGCCACTGTGAGAGCCTTTCCTATTCGTATCTCAAGGTTTGGAATACTAGCGTTATCAATAGCTTGATCCATGCTCTTCTGATCGAGGAATTTGTCGAAGTGTACCACGGAAGGTTGTGGCGAGCCTCCATACACTACCATACCGACACTATTACCTTGAGGAGACACAGGAAATAAGTGGGAAACTTGCTTTACCAAATCCATCATCTTGACTGCCTGTTGGGTACCACGACCTTCGGAGGAAGAAGAGCTATCCAAGACTACTCCAAGGTGGACTTTACCACACTCTAAGGGCAAAAATATAAGTAATGATATCACATTAATATAACGAATATCGATAGGAATCAAGATAAGAATATTTAATGCTCTGCTAGTGAAATTTAACTGAACAGAGTGCGTTTTACTACTGAGCTAGGGTTCCTTCATAGTTTTTCTAGCGAGTTGTACGGATAAATCTCAAGTTGATTCCTCAGAAAAAAAAATTGTTTGTCTGGAAAACTGCAATAAAAAGATAGTTGATCGTGCTCGCCTAAGAGATATGATGGACCATTCTTACCCCATTTTTACCTGTATTGGAACTAATCACGAGCGTCATTTTATTGGTAGCTGGAAGCAATGGTTTTTACAGTAAAACTTGAAAAAAATACTTGATGAGCAGAAAGTCTCGAATGTATGGAATAATGTGATATATAGTTTGTGGAAAAGTCACGTATTTTGAATGAAATCGCTTCAAAACGTTTCTCGAGTTATTACTCTCAAGGTCATGATTTGCATCGTCGAGTAACAAACTTCGTGTACACTTCTATACGACAATGTTTTTAACTTATTCAATTTAAAGGAGGCAACTTTTATCGCAAAATTATGCAATAAAAATATACATCACCGTGCTCGTTCAAGAGCAAAACACCGTCTTACCTATTTACCTCGCCTACTAATTGGATAACAATTCCATGTTTTTGGAATGCACGCGCTTGTTAACCTCGTAACGTGATTATGAAGCGCAGTACAGGATGCACAGTGCAATACTAAGGAATCACCTTAATTGCTTTCTTGCGATTCAAAGAAAAAACAACTTTAACGAGACTTTCGATAGTATTTAAGCTATGTGAGGTAAACATTTCAGTTCTTCAACAAAATTTTTTCTTAGATTCCCTCAAAACTGTTTAAACTGAGACCAAAAAAAAAATAATTCTGTTAGGAATAGGGAGATAATTAGAAAATTCGTTGTGACAATGGAAAAATTGCAATGTTTTTTGTGTTTTATACGAGGCTTCGAATTCTCACCATGACTGTTTTTTTCCTGTTCCTCGGTCTTAAAATTTTCTGCAGCTTTTCCAACTGCCATAATCTTTGAAGGCACTTTATATTCTGGTGAAAGCTCATATTTCTCTTTGGAGTAACGTTTAGGATAATTTGGTCGCTCGAAGGGCTTACTGCTGATCTTTACGTTAGAAGGAGCTTCAGTGCCAGGAAGTATATGAGGACCAGAGCCCTGAACTCTTTCGTTACTGAGTGCTGTTGATTTAAACGAATCACCCAGAGGACCGGGTGCTCTGTGTAATGTCTGACTCTGATTTAATGATTGAGCAATACTTGCGTCTCCTTCGTCCTGCGACTGATAATTCTCCTTGATTCCAGTGGCAAAGCGATGGTCTTCTCCACCGTGTAAATGTTCTAGAGTCTCGTTATACCGACTATCTATTACACTTTCCATTTGTTCGTCGCTTTCGAATCTACGACTCTCATCCGAATTTGTCGTAACATCCTTTGAGCCTTCATCAGCAACTTCATGTTTATTCTCAGGGAGTGAAGATGGTTGGGTTTCAGAATGTAATGCCTCCTCGTCTTGACTAAGTTCTCCCGAGGAAACAACCTTGTTCTGATACTGCTGTTCGTTTCGAGAATCCATTTTGGAAGGGTGAAGTCCACTAGAGATAATTTCTGTTTGCCTTTCCGAATTACTGCCTGTCTGCCCAGCTTGCTGATGTGCTCCTCCTGGACTTCCTGTGGATTGAAAGCCTTCAGTAAAAGGTTCTTCCTGGGAAAGGGGCCTCCTTTCAGTATCCAACTGTCTATGTTTTTGAGAATATCTTAAATATTGCTCGTGATGATGGTTTAAGTCTGTAGGTACCGTTCCACTCTCAGAGGTGTCTTTGATGTGATCAGAAGAAGGCCCTACCTGGCCGTTGTACGTCTCACATGTGCAAGGAACTTGTCTGTCCCGAACGATCCCCATAACATCTTTTTGTAGATGGAAGAACAATGGAGGAAACATTTGGTTAGACAATTTACCTATTGCTAGTCTCTCCTAAGAGCCTCTCGTTAACTCAATTATATCATGATTATTAGTCAAGACAGCGTAGTGAGGAAGCTGAATTGTACTGTGTGAAGTTATTGAGAAACTAGAAAACTTATCATATTGATAACCGTATTTATAGTTATCTGTGCGTTGCCACCTTTTCCGGAGAAGTAAGCTGTGGTGACATATCAAGTCACATATTTGTTTGCATCTCATGCAAGCCCCATGTAAACCCTGTGTCTCGTCATACAAACATTAGATGCATACATACAGTCGACACACGCCCTGAGGACACCTCGCTATTACGAACACCCGGCAATTGCGGACAACAGCCAGCCCCCCGACGAAAAGCATAAAGAAATGACTAATAAACTCCCGTTATTACGGACTCTAGCTATTACGCTATTACGGAAATACGGACACTTTCATGTCCCCCTTCCCCCCTTCCCCATTCAGCGCGACGTTTCACTTACATCTTAATAAAATTTATATGTATGAAAACCATGGATTAAGAGGTAAAAAAATATAGAGAAGGCATACTTCTGGCCTTTAAAGAGAGTATTTCACATAGGACGGGAGAAAACTGTCTGCAAAATCTGGAATTATAAATTGGAAAGAGGGACAAATATTTCTTTCCCTCGCCAATACTCTACTTTCTCACCTCTACAGACCTCCTGAACAATATCATCCATTGCATTCGGCAAAGTGTCCAAGAAAGCGGTGAAAACGTGTTCTGACTTTGGCTCTGAAGCAATGTTTATCAGCTCCCTCACATTAGCCTGTTTACCTAAGCCAATAGCGGTAATTTTGACTCCAGTATCTCTCAACTCTTCAGCAGGTGCAACTACATCGTCAGCTGAACTACCGCTTGATAACAGAACAAGAGCCCGTGGGGCATCTTGGCGACCGGAAATAGCAAAGAGATTTGTTTTCATTTGCAGGAGGGCACTTCCGGTGTAGGCTTTTCCTCCGATATACGGTGCGATATTAACGGCATCGTCAAATTGTCTGAAGTCGCTGAGCCCTTTGAGATCTAAAGCTGTTTTTACATCATCACCAAAAGCCATTAATCCAATATGGGTGTTTCTTTTGTCAAATCCACGGGAGAAGATCTTGATGAATTCCAGAACACGAGCATAGTACGGCTGTGGAATATTACCAGAGCCATCTACAAGAAAGGCGACGTCTGCTTTGGCGGAGCACTCTGTGAAGCGAAAATATTCTTGGGCTTATACAAATAAACTAGGGGCAGCGAGGATTTATTAGTTTTCACGGTCACCATCATCTGGACATCAATTATATCCGGCTTGATATGAGGAGCTGATATCCCCTTGATTACGGGGAAAAAAAACAGAGAGAAAAACAGAGAAAACCTACTGAATGTCCCCAATACGCGCTGTTTAACGAACACGTTGTTAAGCTACTTAGACTGTCGTGAAGGTTTTGCCATGCGACTTGGTGGTTAATGATTAATAACATGATTTTAAAAAGCAATAATACTTACCAGTGCTGCAATTGACTTCTTCCGATCAAATTCCGAGAGAGAAAGTAACAGATGTACGCTAATAGGAATAACAACACAGTGATGTGCACGGATAGGATGTGACTCTTACCTTTCTTTGGACACAAGCAATCTTCTGCTGGCTCTGTGTTATAATGGTTCGACGTAAGACTGGTTCCACTTTTCTCCTGGGACTGCTCTTTATTTTCTAAACTGTAATGCTGTTGATTCGTAGTAGCCTCATCCCCATTCTTTTCAACTTCCTCTTGAACTTGCCCTTTCGAGGTTTCTCCGGTGTACGCCTGTGGCATGCTCGAGTCTTGGTATCCGAGTCCCATGCCTCCATCGGGACTTACCTGGCTTTCAGAGTTAGATTGTTGTATTACTTGAGCATCCTCTCTTTGAGAGAGATCACTAATTCCTTGTATGGCCTCATTGTCAAAAACTGGTCTTGACTGTTGGCTAGCATCTGGTATGGGTAACTCTTCATTTTCTGGTCCATAATCTTCTCCTATACCACCTTCATGATTCTGCATTGCACTGTCTTCCCCAGGACTTGGGGACTCTTCTCCATTTGCTGGCCCATAATCCATTCCTCCCAATGTAGCACCTTTGTTTAGGTCCACCATGGGCACCGGTTCTCCTTCATATGATGACGGCTCCTGATCTGACTCCTGCTTTTCATTTCTTTCACCTCCTCCATTTGATTGGAATGCTTGTCCCTTACTCAACGCAGAAGGTTTGCTCGACAGTTGCTCTTGGGGGGGATGTTTTGCTTGTATAGCAATTCCCACATCTTGCTGGGATTTAGGATTTTTCTCTGCTTTCTGTGTATCTATTCCAACAATGGGCTTTTCTTTGGCCATAGGCATAGCATTTCCTGTCTTGAAAACATGGTGTGAGTCATCAACTGATCCCTCAGCTCGTTCTCCGTGTTCGACGTACGCCCCTTGCAATTTGCTTGATGTCAGTTCAGTGGCTCCTTCCTTCTGCCCAAATGCCTGCTTTTCTTTGTCAGACAATTTTTGATGGGGAGATATGTCTATGTCTTTGGAGGGCTTCGAGCCAAAATTTGATTCCGTTGGCCTTTTCTTTGAACTTGCAGATGGAGATTGGTGCATTTCTTTTCCTTTTTCATTTCGAAAGTTTTCCTTGAACGTTGGTGGTTTTCTCTGCTCTCTTTCCGTGTCCTGTTGTTGAGTGTGGTGAGTCTCAGTGTCCTGACTGCTTTTTAATTCTGTCATTATATGGTGTCCACTGGGTTTATTCTCCAGCTCCCCACTGTCTCTCGCAGAATCATGAAGATGGTCAAAATAGTGCTGCTCGTGAGGTCTAACCGAGTTGTTTGATGAAACATCGGTTTTCACTGTTTCTAGTGACTGGCCAACCAGGCTAAACCCTTTTGAATTTCGTGAGCTTTCGGCTGCAGTCATTTTATTATTGTCCATTAAGGCTGGTCTATTTTGCTCTTTACCATCATAGTGTTCATTTGTTAAAGGTGTTTTTATTTTGGGAATCAGAAAGTCATCTGCGGCCGGCCCTACGTGATTGATTGAGGGATTATTCACTCTCGAAGGAGCTGTTGCGGAGGAAAACTTTTCTTTATTTGAATTGTCTGCATCAAAAGGTTTTGAGCTCTCATAAAAATCTTTCATGTTCCTTTGTGCATCTGAATTTGATGAAATACGCAATGGTTGCTTTGGAGTGTTAATCTCAAACGAAACACCCTTTCTCGGCATACTTGGCGATTCATTTGAAAATTTACCTTTGAAATTTTCGGGGTTTTGACTAGAAATGGCTACAGATTTTTGAAACGAAGCAATTTTTTTGAAATCTTCTCGAGATATTGGCACATACTTCTCCCCTTTTTTAGGGGACCCATTAAGGTTAAATCTGCTTGGTTGATCTTGATTAGGAGATTGTCCCATATAATGTTCATGAGGCCTGCGTTCCTCTTGCTCTCCGAGAAATGCATTTCCTCCCTCCTTTGGTGAAATTTGGCTACTAGGACCTGAATATTGACGCACGTGACGCCCTGCCTGGTTGCCATTCTGGAAGGAAGATTTTGAAATGTGCAATTCTGGAGCACCAACTCCAAAGTCCCCTAAAGCGAGAATAACAGGCGATATCAAACAAACATAATTTCAAATATAAGAAATACCAAACAAATAACGTTTACCAATAATAATGATTACTCGTTAAAACTGGAAAAGCAAATGTTTCAAATACTAACATAGAGTGTACTCGAAATTTAAAAAAAAAACAACATTTTTTCTCCAATAATAGCTACAAAAACAATATTTTCTTTCAAATTCGTAAAATAAAACTAACGGCTGGTCCGGTCTGTAGTGAGTAATGCTTATCTGGGCGGGCCAGTCTTAAGATGAGATAATCCTAAATTACAGTACTTTTTTACAAATGATGAAAAAGGAAAAAAGTCAAACGGCTTAGTGGAAGAATTAAATATAGAAAGGAGTTTCAAAGGCATTATGAAATGCTGAAACAATTGTGCTTCTGTGGAATGATCTCGTGTATGACAAGAAAGAAATGTACTCTTTCGAAAACACTCCAGTAAATTTTAAAGCTTCGTCAGAGCGATAGCAATCGCTCTGACGAAGGGCAAACGCTCGACGAAGGGCTAACGCTCTGACGAAGGGCTAACGCTCAAAACGTCAGCTTTTTTACCCTTTACGGTGGCTAATTTAAGTTTTCAACTCAGTTGTTAACACTAAATTACCTGCTATCTCATTCGATAGTCTGGCACAGGTTCTTGAGAAGGAATTTTTTGAACCACAGGGTTCATGTAGAAATTGTTAGACGTAAAAAAGCGTGTGTTGTAGGAATAGAAATCAGATGTTTTCACAATGAACTACGTCTGTTAATGAGTGCTGAGGCAGTGGTAAAATCATGCATAAATTTCGTTAAATAGTTATTATACAAAAAGTGCAAAGGTAAAAGTTTGGCTCTACTAAAGATGAATTGCGTGTTCAGTTTTCTTTGCAAAATAAGTAAGGCGTTGTGCACGTTTCAGTAGCAATAATAGTTTGTTTAGGCGAGACCTGACCCCAAACGGTAACTTAACGACTTCTTTTATAGCCAGATGACCTTCGTATTCTGATGTTAGGTTGTCTAACTGAAAAGAGCTACTTGCCAATGTTAAGAACTGTTTAACCATTTTTAAGTTCGCTTCTTCTAGTCGTCGTTGTCTTACTTTTTACGTTCTTACCTTTGCAAACTTTAACGTTGCAATCTTGACTCTCTAGACTAGGACCCAAGCTCCTACAATCTTGTCCGCCATTGGACGGAGCTGGATTTGAGCATTTACGCATGCGCCTTCTGACTCCACCGCCGCATGACTTGCTGCATTCAGTCCAGGAAGACCAGGGGCCATAATCGCCGTTAACACTCTTTTTTGTGTCTAAAAAACTGTAGATACAAACAGGTTCCGTGGGATAAGACTAGTGTTGATACACATACTTTCAAAAGGAAATTTTGAAAAACAGCATAAAAAAAACGCATAAGAAAAGTGTCAAAAAAAGCTGCCAAAAATAATCTGTGAATTGATTATTTGTTTTTCAAGGTTGCTCTGCTCATATATTAAGTATTTGGTTTGGTACACCTTTGAGTATTCGAGCAGTAACCCATTTCCATAATTATGTCAGTTCCCAGTACCTAAATGGTTTAAGCAATAAATTTCAAAGACAGAGGTTCCTTACAAATTCATCAGAGTTCTAAGTATCTGCGCAAAGCATAGTAATTCACTTTTCTCGATACAGAAAATGCGTTCACTAACTATAGTCAAATTCTCAAATGAGAGTGAAGTCTTACCGATATACTTGTATACTCCAAGGCCCTCCTTTACCATCACCTGCAAACAAAGAAATCTATTCAAAGCATGTCCACCTGCACTAAGGAATGAGTTCACTAGGTTACTACGAAGGCCTGCTATTTCGTGTCTGTAAAGATTAGGCTCATTGACGGATAATTCTGCATTACAGTACTGGGCTAACCATGTGGTAAGGCTATTTAACCATTCTTATCTATGATGAGCTACAGAATACTTATTCGTGATTGACCCAATCAACTATGTATCTGAACGATCCAAAAAACGTAAAAACAAAAGTATCAATTTTGGCGAAGAGATCTGTCTCAGTGGCGAATTAGTTTTGAGAGTGTCGTTGTCGGTGAGAACCAATAAGAATCACCTGGTGACAATATTAGCCAAAGGTACCTTCTCACACGCTAACTTTGCCATTATACCCCTGCCCTTCTCTGTGCACAGTGTGTTCATTTTAGGCAAGATGCCCTTATCCATTTGTCTTGTTAAAATGCCATAAAGTTCGCTACTAAAACAAGCATCGACCCCTTGTTTATGTGATCGGATAGTCTGATTTAGAATCTAACTTTCCGAATCGATTAACTCCAATCTGGCCTTCTTTTTCTTACTTTGTTCTGGTAAATCTAGTATTTAAGCAAGGCCGGCTTTTTCTGGGGGTCAACGTTTATAAACAGACTTTGTTATTCTGTCATTTTAAAGCTTATTTTGTTGCAACCCATCCTCTGAGACCAAGGACTAATCGCCTGAGACGGCGCTATTTCTCCCTCACTCCTTTCCTCTATTCTGAGAATTTTGACGGATCAATCCAAAAGATTAAAAAAAATCTATATGTTGCAGCAGAGCGATTCAATAGAGAGTAGTGTCTTCTTACTTAGAGCTCAAAAACTCAAATAAAAGTCAGTAACCATCTCAGGGTTTTAGGGTTAGGTCCCCTGAACCTTAAATCTTGAACCTAATGTGGGGCCTTAATCATACAGCCAACGTTTATTCAGATGCCTCCAACCTTTATGTAAGGCCGACTTTCAATGAGGGTCCGGTCTCTGATCGAAGAAATACATCTCGTTTTCCTCCTGCTGGATATAGGTTTTATATATTCGTTTTCAAATTTCGACACACTTTGTTACCTCTACAATCCTTAGAAGCTCCATATCTGCGATATTCATTGTCCCCAACAGAACTCGCAAAGCACTGGCCTCCATTCTCGATTCCGAATATCTTACGACCCTTATCGAGAGCCGCCTTTGCACATTTGTACAAAGCATGCCTTCTGCCTTTATAATTAGGATCCATTAGAAGATAATGTTCTCCTTCGATTGTTGGTAAGCCTCGCGCCCATGCATCTCGCCAGCAACCCAAACTTTCAAACCCTATAAGTAAAGCACAACTCGTGATGGCATGTCACCCTCTACAATGATATACCCTTAAAAGGATACTACAATATCGTAATTTGAGATAATTTACTTAGGCTCTGTTTCTTTTAAGTGTACAAAGTTTTAATTCACAGTATTTACTAACATTGATCTCACTGAATGACAGATCATTGTCGAATTTCGGTCCTTAAAATTGTAGATCGTTGCCCTTCGTCCTTTCGGTACAAGCGTGAGGAAGTGAGCTTAAGAGTATATTGGCAGATTTTTGCATGGTCCCAGCATAAGATACATACTTTAGTCTTATTAAACCTGACACGAAAATCCTGCTGAATTACTAGTATGCCATCATAGTATAGAAACGTGATGCAGCTCAGCTCGTCTCATATTATAAGCAATAAGTACCCATACGCTGCCGCAAAATAGATACATACACAGAAGTATAGTTACGGAAGGAGCGTAAAAATTCAGAGGTTTAGAGGTTCAGAGGTTCCGGGCCCCAGTAAGAAACGCATAATGAGCCACATAACCTCTGTATTGACGATAGATTACTTACGTTGGCCATCAATTTCCAGTTCCCCGGTAATTTGTTGCCTTTTCTCCAATTTTTCAAACTCTTTGTCTTCGCCAGATGTGTTTTTCTCTTTATAAAGTAAATAAATCTAGTTTTGATTAAGCTCAGCGATTATTTATGTTTTGGCAAATCAATATTACCTCTAAAGACTAGACTAATAATGTATAATCCCTCCAAAAATGGTTGTATTTAACTGCGTAAACGAATACAGGATAATTCCCTTGTTGCTTTGGTTCCTCCGGTAGTTCATTTTCAATCTCTTAAAGGTCTTGAAAACATTCCTTTGGAATGCTCGGACGTGAAGCACTCAGATTTGGAAGACATTGTGTCAGACGAACCCAAAGGGTCATTTATTGTTACAAAGCAAGGTAAAGGCTATGGTGTATTTTAATGGATGAAACTACAGCTTTCACAAACTCTTCACAGTGTCTCAAAATGAATGTCAGCAAATAGGTCCCGTCTCCTTGATATGTCCAACTTTCTACAAAGCGAGTAAATGTAGGAGACTTAAGAGCCACAGTTATGACAGTGGGCGTGTTCATTTTAAAAAGTAGGATTTGATTAAGCATCTGGAAACTGATGGGTCTATCGAAGGTAGTAAAAGTCTTCTCGCTTCCTTTGTCCTGACAGCCCTGAAAGTGAATTGCTCTAAAACGCATGTGAAAATACGTATCATAGCTCAAAGATACATTTTATAACATTTTTTCATTTGACCGGAAACTTCGACACAAAATCATCACTTACCTTTATTGAGCTTGTTCATGTACCTGCCCTGCACTTTGGTACAAATCACATTCGCCAAGAGTAAAACAATGGCCCACATGTTGTAGTGTCTTTGCTCCAACAGACGTAATATTTCAGTCTCAGAGCTTGAAGCGACCCAAAGATATTTCTAGCTAGATAGATTACACAAGTTTACGAAAAATAATAAAATCATATCTAAGGAAAAATCGTAAGACGGTGAACGTTGGCAAAAAAAAAAAAAGGAAATTAAAAGAAAATGGGCTTACTCACCAGTTATGACCAACACAAATCTAGCTGTTTTTTCCCTCCAATCAAAGGAATAAGGCACTTATGACTATGACTTTGAGAATTTTGTGGCAATTTCGTTAAGTTGTGAATTCCAACATTGTGCTAATTCTAAGAAGTAAATTTCCCTTTCCACGACACAGACCGTCTTTGCCTCGTTAGCGAGAAATAGGTTAAAACTAAACTTTTCGTGAATTTTTCATGAGGAAGTTCTGAAATATTTATGGCTAATAACCTAACAACCGTAAAGGAAACCATAACATTTTCGCTTTGACTCGGGTAACTTAATCAGGTATGCGAAAAATCGATAGAGATCGACAACTTACGACGAATATTCAACAAAAATTTCGATGGAAACTGGAACGAAGGAAACCCACCCCTCACCGATAAGTAAGGTTTGTTTTCGTCGAAAGTGGAATGAATTCCCCAGATAATTACAAGAGGTATGCTAAAGTTACGCCCGATATCTTAGAGGAGATCAAAATACAACTTCTCTCATACGATCTAATACTTTGAAAAGAAGACTTGTAACAAGAATATCAAACCTTTACATCAAAATGTAAGGTAAACCGCAACTACATTTTGAATTTCAGTTAAAAGAAACTTCATGGATTTTACACATAAATCCTTCCTCTTTTCTACAAAACAAACTATTTTGAATATTAACATTTCCGATATCCACAAAACACCCCATAAGATAAGAACCCTAGAGATAGCGCTAGTTGACTGGTGAAACGGGTGATAAATGTTCCAAACTATTGAGTTCAGTGATATGTCTGTGAACCGGAACCTAGTGAAATACATGAGACGAGTTGGTCTCTTAAAGTCCGGAGGAGACCGATGCTTTATGATTTATGCCCTAAGCTGGCAGGAGTTTTTTGTTACTGTTACAAACAGTAATAAGTGCGGAATCGTTAACTCCGAATTTGTAAAATCTGTTCATTGGGAAATTATTTTATGGTAGTTGAAAAATTAAATATGAAGAGTAGGCACCTTGCTTTGTACTTGGTAAAACTGAGGCATCAGTGCTCCTAAAATAGTTTTCTTTATATCATTATTGCAGTCGGAAAATATTTCGAACGATGGACATTTTTAAAACAGATAACGAAGTTTAACTCGTTAAGGGGCTTTAAGGGTACTCTATTAGGTATTACTTCCATATTTGGTCAATTCAAACGGTTGACAGAAACGGAGAAGATGATGTTTGGCATGAAAACATACGTTGAGGTGTGATTTAATCGTTGCACAAAAGCGCCGTCTAACTCCAGGGGAATGAGAACAAACGGCAACGTTAAAGTTACAAAAACTTTATTTAACATTCGGAAAATATTACAAATTTTTCTACACGAACCAAAGTTAGGTGTGCTATAAGTGGAATTTGTATTCTTGGAGCAGAGATGTAACTTACTTGGAAACAGTTCAGCCCGATCGGATAATGAAGTTAAGAAATCGGTTCCCATAGATTATCCTCTGATTTGGTTGATCGAGGCGTCTCTGTTCTATTGTTGTCAGCAGACACGTTTTATGTCTATTGTGCAGACAAGACAGAAGAATGATTGAACTCTCCTGGGGGGTGAGGGTGTGAGGTTACAGTAACTCATTGCGCGCGGAGTAAATAAAGTCACGAATCAAGAAAGGAACTAAAAATTAATATTTTATTTCGAGAATTTTTCAAAAGCAATTATTTTCTTTTCTTATTTTTTTTCATGTTGTCAAGTCTAGAATTAAAATGATAAATATTCAGCAAATTAGAAAATATGATTTCGAACAAAGTATTAAAGTTGTACTTGATGTGTCGTTCTGGAACAAGGAAACTTAACTTTTTAAATTTTAAGGCCAAATCCTTCGGGATTCTTCCGTCTTTTTTTTTTTATTTCCTGGCTAACAAATGCTATCAACTGGTCCTCCGCTGCTCTCTGCGCTTCTTCGTTGTAGTGCACATGATCTAACGTACCATTAGGGTATGAGGCGGTCATGGAATACAGATCTAACACAGGGATACCAGCCTTGCACATGCGACTAACTGCATACTTGTGGAACAACTCAAGTCTCTGAAAGATACATAAGGGATAACTTCGCTACTTAACGGATTTTGATGGAAAGTGTTTCGCAAAAGATTTCACAATTTAAAAGCCTCTCCTGGCTGCAGGAAAAGAGTTAAGTAATGAAGTTTTGCCGTTTTCAAATAAACGATTTGTACAACATAAGAATCGGATATCCTTTTTCCTGTAAAAGATACATTTTTCAATCTCTCTCTTTAGAAAAAAGGAGAAGACCTAGAAAAATCAGAAGTCTATTTAGCAATTCCCGTTTTTAATAACCTATCGCGATCGAATATCACACCTGATGCGTATGAAATCTCCAATGGGTTTTGTTCCTAGGCAGCTCAGCATACATTTTGTGAACCATTTCCTTTTCTATGGAGGTGGTCGTCTTCCAAATTAGGATGGGCATGTTTTCCATTGTGTTATCTAACTTCTTCTTTACAAGTTTCACTACATTGTCTATAAGGCGTCTGTAAGTTGTGAAGTTAAGTGATACGGAGTAATGAACACCAAGATTGAAGAGAAACACACTGTCTTGTGTCTTTAAGTCTGAAGAGTTGAGAATCTCACTCATATGTTGCAGGATAATTGTCTCGTCAAAGTCATTCGGCTCGAACTTTGTCTTTGCTTCTTTTTCACTTGTCAGCTGAAAATTTCATAAAAAAGAGCTGATCATTCAAAAATCCCAATCAACAACCTCGGTGTTGATGCAAAGTCAGCCATTTTCTTGACTTTTTTAAAGAGTCCATTTATAAAAAAAAACCCGACAAATAGCTAATGATAATTTAAAACCTATGCACCACTGAGCCTGCTATATCTCCAACGACTATGGAGGTTAAAGTACTGAAACACTGAACAAAAAATAAAATTGATAATTTAATTATTGTTTCCAATCAGCGTCAATATCAAATTTTCTTGGCCTCATATAGACTTCAATCCCTACCTCATATATCCACATGTAGGAACTGATGCACTTTTTGAAATTTTCTTGACAAATTCCTCTCGATTTTAGGGAATTTAAAAATCTTTGACTGACAGAATCACCATATATCCACAAAGTATCGGCCTGTGTTACTGAGTTTCCTTTTCCTGTTGCGGTTTCGATATCTGGTAATGAAAAAAAAGAATAAATGAGATAAAGGAAGGTCTGTAGTGAAGATTTATAAATTGATTACTTATTTCGATAGAACCAGCTAAAAAGCAAAAAAATGAAAAAAAAAAAAAGAGAATGACGATTTGTTACAGGATCTACTTTAACGCACTCCCTTTTCATGTGTCAAGGAAGATAAATTTTGTAGGAAAACAAACCTGTTACGTACGGCAACCACTCTCTGTTAACCCATCTACCGAATCCATTCTGCACAAAGTTACACTTAATCCCACAACTTTTTGCCAAATTTTTTGAGTCTGGGGAGATTGTCAAAGTACAAATGTTAGGAAAAGTCTGACATTTCTAAAAATTTTTAATTAGTCTATATTTTCGCATTGTTTCCCATTTAAGTAGATTTGATTAGATTTTATTTGATTTGATTAAGATAAGATTTAAGTAGTTTTGCAAGTTAACTCCATCATGTTAGGTTGTCTCTTTAACTTATGCTAGTATTTACTGAGATTTGTAAGTACACTATAAATAAATAAAAACATGATTTCTATATTCAACGTACAAAGCAAAAATACTCAATCCCAATCTAGTCAAACATACCCTCTGTTTCTAAACCGACAATGCAGGATGGTGTGACAAAGGCATCAGGGGTGAGAGCGCCACTCCACGGAACAAAAAAACTGAATGTTTTTTGTCCACCTAGAGGCTGTAGGATGTAGTCATCGCCAATGAATCCCAAGACACCATCTGGTTGATACTTTCCTTGAACCGTTCCTGATACATGAAGAAAGATTCAATACCATTCAGTTACTTTATATTTGGTCGACGGCCCAGCCTTTTTTGCGAATCGGGGCGGCTGGAGGCGTCAATGTGCCTACGGCTACATGTATTATTAGACAATATTAGAACAGCTCGCCATTTGTTGTCCAAAAAATTTTTATTAAAGGAATCAGTCGATTCTGTCAGAATTAATTAATTGATCAATTAATTTGTTGTTTATTGAGTCGCGAATCCCGCTATTCACTCGTTTAATTTGGTGCAAACGAAAATTCTACTCGTAATCTCTTATCTCGCTCTTTTTTGGCGTCGCATTACAAAATATACTAGCAGCCTCGCAACGTTTGAGTAAGAAGCAGCGAGATAATGATAGAAAGATTTCCGTCCATGCGAGGTCTATCTTACAGAGTGCGTTGTCCATCTTGAATAAAGCTCAAACCAACTCCCTGGCATTTTGGGTTGAAATGCAAAAAAAAAATCTCCCGGTAAAGATGGATCTTCATAAATTACTTACCTATAATAAACCAATCCACCGGTGGATCCCGCAAACCATCACATAAAGTGAAATCCAGCGTTATCTGGGCGGAGTAGTTGCCAGGTTCCATTGCTAAGAACACCACCTCGTACATGCCGTTGTCGAGGTCCCAGACTTGCGGCGCAATTGATGCCGGGCCTTGTTTGATGTATACTCGCCATGCATCACCCCCAAAGCTTTTTATGTGGCCATTTTTCGTCACGGATTGAATAAAAAAACGACTGAATTGACCTTTTAAAAAATCAGGAGAGCGAAGTGATTACTGAGAACATTTTCGCCTCAAGCTAGCTTTTAAACTTTAGGGGATGAAATCGTTATTTAGCGGAAATACATTTTTTTTAATTTTAAATTTGTTATCAAGTTCTGCAGTCCTTTTCAGTTGATTACTGATCTTCATTATCTTTAATGGTAATCAACAACTTTGGCCAGAATCTTACAAGCAATACAAGATATCTGATCATAGGGTAACATTCTATGTTTACAAACTGGACCACTTTTAGGCTTTATGTTCTTTCTTTCACCTGCAGGAAGTATCTCCCATTTTGTAATAAAACTTCTCCGCGCATCACTCCTCAACTCTGAGTTTATTTCTCTTCGGGTCCAGGCAACTCGGTTCTCACACGGTTTGACCATTCCTTCCCAGTCTACACGCCATTCATGCATTCTACACCAATGATGACGAAAAGTTCTGAAGTCGTTCAAATGGGATATGTCATAATAGGGTAGCTTCCACATAATGCGAAGAATTGCCAAGGCAGCAACAAAGAGAAAAACGATGACAAGGCGTAAACGGAAGAGGCGCCCAGCTAAGCATCTCATCACTAAAACGTAATCAGGAAATGAGGAATTCTATTTAAATAATGCAAACTTAATTGACAGATTAACAAATGATGATACGAAATTAGGCCGGCTACTTCATCAAAAGGGGATAAACCAAGTGCGAGGAAGATTATCGAAGGGTCATCGATTGGGATTGCTGAAGGAAAGTTGAATCATAGTTGGTGTTTTTAACTCTGGAGGGCTGGTTCACGTACTTCGAACAGACGCCCGTCAACAGATGTCAGTAACTATCTCAAAAACGGCATATTTACCACATTCACTCAACAAGCGACCCGAAAAAGATTGACCTATCATCACCAACGAAACAAAACTGACCAGTAACCACCGAATTTAGATTTACAGCCAATCCCGCCGCCACAAAACGTACAATCTAGTTTACATATACCGAAATTGTAAAACTCAGCCTCTTCACGCGACTTTGATGACGGCTTTCCCTAAGGTAGTCGAAACGTTATTCGTGCTCAGGATTAGCGTTACCCTCACGATTAGAATACATCATCAATTGCCCTAGCTTTTCACGTAGGACATACTGTTTCGGATAAGAATGGGTCATTGCTCTGAATTATCATCTTAATTACATGAAATGATCACATTTTATAATGGCTCATTTAAAAGATATGTTGACGCTGGAAACAAAGCAAATCGAGAGAACCTACTCTTACAGGAAAAGGCCCTAAATTTATCGTAATTTCGCATTTTGTTTTATTAAGAGTATTTGCCCTTTAATGTCTCCATAGAAACCGGTCTGGTACAAGAAACCTTCGTAGTAGCTAAATAAAAACTCATCTTTCAATTTCTTAGGGGCACGAAATCTCGGCAATTTTTCTAAACGTAGTATCAAAACTGCGAAAAAGGAATGAGACATGCAAAAAGAATTTGCTATGCTTTACAAACAAAATTTATGCTGCGAGTATAACCGTGAAATATCATTCTTAATTCCTCCCTGAAAGCTCGCGGTTGCTTGGAATAATGCCTCATGAATAAAAAAACAAAATTAAAAAAATCTGGGTTACAGGAATTGATAACAATAATAAAACGTCCTAATATTTTAAGAAGCCGTCCCGTATTGCTAGATTTAAGACTCATTGCATTACATTTATTTCCAGTATAATGTGTGCTTGTGATCTGTTAAAATTCTGGCACCGCAAGGTAAATTAACAGCGAGTTCATCAGTTCAGTCGTTTCCCGAAAAATATGAACTGCAGGATAATTTTCCCTTTGCTTGAAAATGGTAATCGTTATTTTTTTGTAGTCCATCACAATGATTTAACTACTTTCATCAACCTATAGCTGATAATCTTGTCAAACTTGTCGAGAGCGGATCTTTCCGACGCAAAACTTGCTCCTTTTACATACTAAACTACGCTTTCTTTAAATGCTGATGTTATAACTTACTATGAAGAATCCAGGTGGCGTTATAGTTGTTTGTTAATTTCATCCCAGTCCATTGAACTGTAGAAGTCCAGAAACATGGAGTTCGTGATCGACACCGAATGTACGCAGACTCAATCGTGATCGATAATACTTGTTAAAATTGAAAAATTGACGAGTGTAAGCCACGTACGACGGAGAACGAGTAGAAAGGCAAGAGAACAGGGTCAAGCTACCAATGAACCGAGAGAGTCTGGGAAGAAATCTCTGCAGCTATCCTAGTCACCAGTGCCCATCATCCTTGCAGTTTTCTCTCTCAACTTTTTGCAAATATGTTGACTGCACAATCACGGCACTAAGTTATCTAACGATTTCAATTTGCTTCGTTTTTTTCACGCGTGGAGCCCACCGCCGGTAAGGGCTCTTTTCTGCAGGCTGATGCCCAGTTCCAACCACAAGTCACAAAATATTTATTATAACATTTTCGTGAGCCGCTCAAGAGAATCCCAAACACTCTGGTTTCAAAAAAGTAAGAGACAAAATTACATGGGTTCATCTTGAAAGCAAGAGTATTTTCAACAAGGAAAAAAAATTTATATGCTTACCTTTTTTATTACAGTTATTTTGGAAAACAACGAATTACCCTTCGAACGTAAGGTCTGTGTTATAGCTGAGGTGTTTTTCCTCTAAAAATTAAGCGTTTTGACGTTAAATGTAATTTAAATCATTCACTTTAAGTATGATGTTTCTTTGGGAGAGAATAAAACTCCACGGACTGCAAAAAGTAAACTAGCCAATAAATACCCAGACGCAAATTTTTAATGGGACAAATTTTGCGATCTCACATCCTATGCAACGCTAGATTCTAAGACTAGGGAATTTCTATGCAACTTTTTAAATTACATTGTCTATACAAACGAAAAACTTTACCACTGTGATTGAACTAACTCCCCTAGCTGTACATTCTGTCAGGAAGGCCTAGAGATATAGTCGTATTCAGGCTGGAACACCAATTGAGTCTGATATGATTCCAGCCAAAAATGATATTAAACAAGACTAAATTTTAGTCAATAATCATAATCTTATTATAAGGGAAACATTGTATATACAGTGTCATACCGACTGACTTAAACTCTTACTTGAGATAAATATGAAGACCATTGTCAGCACAGGTTATTTTCAAAATCATGAAAATGTACTTAACTGTTTTACATTATGCAAATGAAACATTTCATTAATTGATAATCACATCTAACTATAAAGGAAACATTATATACACTCTGACTCCTATCAATGGATTTTACTTCTTACTTAAGATAGTTATTAAGACTACTGTCATTACAAGTGGAAATCATCAAAATGTACTCGAAGGTTTTTACTCTGTATAAATGGAAACATTTCGATCTATTCCCACAGATGTTCTACATTTAAACCAAGAAGGTGAGTGCCAGATTTAAAAAAGTATGATTATTCACTTAAACCACAATTAGGAGATGCGGCTAAAATTTCAAATACATAATAATACACTACTTAACAAATATACTATGCAGCCACATGACTTAAACTTAATTTGTGCAGAACCTTGTTCACTATTAAATGTTTCTTGGTATGATTAACAATAACAATTACTTTAATTTATCTAAATTGTAGGTCTTCTTTGCCCTGTTCTTCTAACTCAAATTACGTTCACAATTAGGTACATTCAAAGGGGAATATTCGGCCGTGTGCTAGTCATGATTTTAGAGTAAAATAAAAAAAAGAGTTCCGACTCACAAAACAAAAAGATCATAAATACCATTTAAGGTAAAAGAAATATGCTCGATAAATTTAACGGAAGGGTTCGCTATATTTATATCATTGAAAGCCTCCATTCAAGTCACTATACCACTGAGTTCTGATATTAAACTCAATTGAGAAAAGAACATTTGACCCTATAAAGCAATATTGCTACAAGCAACAATCGCACAAGACTATGGACCTAACGTGAAGTGAAGGGCACTGCATGATGCATCAATGATAGTAGATAATGAAATCCAGCAGAAAGTCATACCTTAAACACACTCAATCAAGGAAGTAACAAAATTGGCCCCATACAAAATGAGCACATTGTCCAAGTGCGGAAAGTGAGCTCCCAAATCATAAATGAGATGTACGCATATGACTTTGATACGCTAAGCTTCAATAAATGGAGATGAACTGAAAAAGATAAAATTGATACAGTGATAGAGTCACCGCAGTTTACTCTTGACCTAGCAGCCATTTGTTAAATAGAGTGACTGCACAAACACTTATCAACTGGCTACCAGCCAACAATCGTATCATAACTGCAAGATTCCAGTGTACAAAAACCAAATAAATTGTGACCCAATCTTGTGTACCAAGTCGCATAACCAATGCGGAAGAGGAAGACGATTTTTACCAGCAGTTAAGGGACCTCAGCCGTATCACCTGACCGGTAATTCAAGAAAAGGCGAAAGTCACCAAGGAAAAACAAAGAGTGACATTTTATGAAACGGTTGAAACGCTTAGGGTGAAAAAGACTCAACTTGCATACGCAAGAGATGGTAGTCTTGATATCAGCAAATCAAGGTTCTAAAAAGTGCAGCTGTATCACCTGACCGTTAATTCCCCGCAATCAGGATTAAGGAAAAACGGAGGAGCGACACCAAATTAGTATGACCGCTTTCCAAGGACAAATTGAAAGGTTCAGACGTACCATGGACTTTTTCATCTCGAGCTGAAGTTCCAAAATGGTATTCCAAAATGGCACTCAGGAATTTTGCGGAAACAGCACTAGTTTGCAAGAGGGAACACAAAGAGGTAAGTGGATATCAGATGACAGCTGGAGACTGATTATCGAAAGAAGAGACCTCAAATTGGAAGATATCAGGAGGTAGATAATCCGTTGAGATAAGTCGGAACTGGATGAAAAGTGCATACAACAGGACTAGGCCATTAAGAAAGGGGGAAGGTTAGGATAAGGAAAAGATTGTCCAATTAGAAGAGCAGGCAAAATTTCACCGGCAAAAATGCCAGTGAAATGCCTAAACAACCAGCCTTCAACATTTTCTTCAAGTTCACAGCAGGAGAGAAGATTAATAGGGAAGGTAATAAAAGTGCTGAAAATAACAGAAAGAATGTTGTTCTTCAGGAACTTAAAAGATTCCTCTAAAACATCTGGGTCGACGAGAAAGTTCCTGATGATTAGTGCTTCGCCGTCATCAAGTTGAGATAAAAGAAAGAATAATTGGCGTGGAAACTGGAGAAGAATAGCAATGCTTTCAATCCCTAGTATCAAGTATAGCTCCTCTGAATGAACTGAAAACTCGTGTAGTCAGTCTGCTTAGAGAAGATGAAGGTGGAGTTAACAACAGGAGGTCATGTACAGAACAAATCCTCACACCACGGAGGATAGTTAAACGGTTTCCTGACCATCAGAGGCCCTGAGACACTCACCTCAGAGACTTCAGGAAAGTCCCTCATAGTTTCCCTAAACAGTCACCAAGCAGTAAGGAGTACCAACAAGTACTTTTACATCTTTAGAACTGCACTGTATCGCAGGTGTCATCAGCAATTTAAAATTGTGAAAAGATTGTTTCTTTTCTCGTTACAGGCTCCTTGTGGCCGTAAGTTCTGTCATGAACAAGATATTACAAGCTAAAACTCGGCAAGAGAAGGAATCCAAATTATATAGACAGATCTGATGTTTATCCTCTAATAGGAAATTGAACGACCCTTTAAGATATGACATACAGCCTCGAAACTAGTGGCACCAATGTTGGCCGTGCGAGGAAGGAGGAATTGAGTATTGGTGTGGTTCCTCTTCCGCTGATCTTGAAGGAAAACGGGTTTACATATGAGGGAGAGATATGACATATGATGCTGATGTTGAAGTTGTAGTCAACTCAGACCTTGGGCAAGCGGCTTCCGCTTTATAAAGGATGAACATAGTTTGGCCATCAAAAGCAATCAGCCAAAATTCAAAATTCTGCTTTATTCCTTAGTTGTCACATCATCGGTCTTATATGTCTGGGAGAAGTAAAGGGATATAGAGAAAGTCATAGAGAAGTCATGTTTTCTTAACAATGCTTTCTATGCAAGATATTAGGGATAGTTAAGACAGATCAAATAAGAGAAGAATATGTAGAAGAAATATTGAACTGGTAGACAAAAGGAGGCCTGGAGAACCTCATTGAGAGATGGCCTGAAGGCCTTACATATCCCATGTGGAGACATGATAGTCTTGATAAGTGATTGGATAGAGTAAACATCGCGCCAATGGGGACAAGTCATCGCAGGGGAAGTCATTGTGGTCTTGGGGTAGTCACCTGACTGGAGGCTCCAATATGTGCTACATCAGTGGTATTGATAGCTAATTTTCTATTAAATCTATTTTATAATACATTATCTTTCATTTTCGGCCACCAATGTGACACAAGTTGTGTTCTTGAGTACCTCATCTAGTGAAGTGAATCATGCCTCAGTCTTCTTTCCGATTGAAAAAGGTAGGCCCCAATGAAAAAGAAGACACCATTTGACCTGATGATGGAAAAGAGAGAGGGGAGGTTATTCAGGTTGGCTGTTTGTAAACGCCACATTAACGTCAATACATAGCTTCCATGAGAAAATTTCTAAGGAGCCAAAAACTCTGCTTTCAAGCAAGGAGAATTTAGTCCCTAAACATAACGGAAAATAGAAATCGAAAATCATTATGATAATATCATGTCGTTCTCAGCGTGCGAGAAAAATTTATTTTCATTCCAAACGGTTGCAAATAACAGAATAACAGTCTTGAATGGCTCTAATTACAACACAGATATAACTTTTTCCAGTCTGCCCCATTAAGAATAGTAGTGGATGAGTTTCTCCTCATCTCTTCATTGCTCCAATTCAGAAAGTAAGACAAAATATGGTGACCTCAAATTTAAATTTAATGTTTTTGACAATTAAAAATTCATTGAAAAGTTCTGTAAGGATATGGACATACTTGAAGGTGTACTATAACTAATCCATTTGCGTAACCGGGTCCCTCGCACAAATCTGTTTCGAAGAAACATCATGAGCAAA